AGAAATATAAAAATTATGTCCAGTGCGCGTTTAAAAACAGGCTCTATTCGAATATTTTGAGATGTTCAGTGATGTTTTGTGTGTAAAGGATTTTAGGTCAATTTGACTTTTAATCAGTTCAATTTCATGCAATCCAAAATGTGTTGGGTTTCTTCTCTTTTTTTTAACGTCATATCAGTATTCTCTGATATTTCACATTATCTTCTGAAATTTTGCTTTGAAGATGAATGATTTAACAAATTTATATACCAAACATTTAAAATTTAATCTGCGTTTATAAATACCATTGAAAGTACAACATCTGACAAAAGATAAATATTGTTAGAAGAAAATGAACCACTCGAATTCGGGTTGAGATGGAATATAACCGTTGTTTGATTTTGTTTGTTAAACAAAAGAAACCCCCTAAATATCGTCTCATGACCAGAACAAAAAGTGTTACGACCAGAACAAAAAGTGGCGAAACTGAACTACCAACAGCTAGCGATGATATCTAATCATATACTTTTGCAATGGATTTTTAAATGCAATGTAAAACTAGAGACATGTACTATTTATATGTCTCTGGTAAAACTTTACATTTAGAAATGTCTTATCCCGAATTTCTTCTTTGTTAAAACTGTAATACATTATTTCATGGTACACCGACCCGAGAAGTAGAATAAAATATGGTAATTGTTTCATGTTATGATTCCAAGAAGAATAGACATGAGGTCTGTATTTGGATAAGTTGTTTTACTGCTAAATAAAAATAATTCCTTCCAATAGAAATTATCTTCAGAAAGAAAATTAATGGTTCGTTTGCTCGTACTTTCTTTCTGTCGTCCATAGAACACAATTTTCAAAATTAATCAAATTTGGCGTAACATAATTAATTTTGATAACCTTTAAGTCCAAAGAAAAGAAAGAAAAAATAAAGATTCCAAGACCCTATAACAAAACACTTCAGTGACTGTGGGTTTTTTTTTTCAGCGCAAGCTATTTTTACTTGTGCATGGTAATTTTTCTAGTCGTTGTTTTATTTTCATCAATAGAGAATTTAATACTGAAACAGACATTTATCATGATTTTTAAGGACACTTTGATGAAATTTTAAAAGAAAATAGTCTTTTAATTTGTATTGATGGTCCACTGTCTCATTTACATATAGCCTACATACATTGATCATATATAGAGAAATATAATTGCATCCGAGATCGCATTATGTAATGGACTAATTTTATCACTTTTTACTGTCTCCCTTAATTATATATCGATGGGCATTCCAGTCGATCCCTTTTGAAAATACTAAATCGAAAAAAAATACATGTACGAAGAAGTTTGTCTGACGTGAAAATACGTAGTTCAATAGGCTTTATTTACACACACAGTGAACTGCTTTTTAATAATATTTTTACGAAATCATTTGAAATTTAGTTTTTTTTTTCAAAGAAAGACCTATATTACAATAAGCATATTTAGAGTACTTTGACATGCCGCTGCATGATAACTCATCATTTTATGAAGGCATGTCAAACTGTCACTATTGTCAGAAGTTGGACTTTTGCTAGTATCCTATCAACTGTTCTATATCTCACATAGATTGACGTACGGTGATGGCGGCTTGAAACAACGTAATTTATATAATGACATTGTCATATAGTTTTAGGACACTGTTGTTATCTGTAAATGTATCTGTATCAACATCAAAGAGTAATGTACTTCATTGTCAGAGTTGTAGACTACTGATTCAAAATAAGGTTGATTTCGACATCGAGCTTTGTAACCGCGGAGAAGAAGTTGAGTGTAAGAGTAAATTAGACGAATAAGGAAAATGTGCCCGGACCATACGTGTTGTGATTTTTTTGTAAGACCATTGATCGAGGTTGAAAATTAATGTGGATTAGTTGCAGATGATTTTCGAAAAGAGAGGCCCAGAGGACATTTTAGTGAAAAATCCGAGTCGTAATTTCCCGCCCTGAATGGTACTTTGAGTAGGAGGGCGCCAACTCCCTGTGGACAGCCCATGAACACGGCTCCATGGGAGGGCTAAATCTAAATAAAAAACTAGTCTGAACCCGCACGTGATGATGTGCCTGTCCTATATCGCTATTTTTGGGACTTGGTGTTCATGGTCGATGTTAAATCAATGAATTGTATATTTAAATTTTCAATTCCTTGGTTAAATATTAATGTATCCATTACTTTTCTAGACTTCGGTGTTTTAGAAGTTGACCAGCTTCCATTTTCGAAGACCGAATGCTGACCACTAGATGACTTGTTCTTGTCAGTTGTTGGGTTTGCCTTCTCATTTTTGTATACCAACATCTCCTTTCATATAAAACCTAGAGACCAGTTCAAGTACCCATGCCACACACAATTTATTTTTCTTAAAAAAACTTTCAACAGTTACACACAGTTTTTTGCTTGCATGGATAGAGGAAAGTCAAAAAGAGAGAGCATATACCAAGTGAGCAATTAGAAACTATAAACAGAAGAAAAGAGGAAAATGACGAGCGTTTCGTCTTCAAAAAACTTGAAAAAAACACGTTTAATAATTTCATGCGTCCGAAGCGCTTTTCTGGATTTACCTTCATCAGGAACGCTCAAAGCCAAACATTTGAAATCCGAAGATGTATAAGTACGGAAACCGTTGAAGAGCTATATGACAAAAATACCTAAAATAAATAGCCAAATTCATCTAAAGTCAACTTTGCCTGAGGGAGTTGAAACCTTAGTTTCTTAATAGTTTAAAAATTTAAAAACGGACAAAAGACTCATCAGTGACGTTCCAGTACAAGAGTTAAAATACCAAATACAGTACGAAGCTGTAGAGCATCGACGACCCAAAATTCCGGAAGGTTTTGCCAAACACAGCTATAAGGTAATCTATTCCTGCATGGGATAAAAATCCTTACTCGGTATTTCGAAAAAAATCATAGTTTTGGTAAATACCATATCAATGATAATTCATGTCAACACAGAAATGGAAAGATGACGGGGTTAAGGACCAACAAGTGACGCATATCAGTGGTCATCTACGGTCAACCAAATCATGATGGTGTCCGTAAAACTTTTAACACCATGCAGAGATGACATAAAATTACCATATGGAACCACATGCACTTGTCACTTAAAAATAACCTTTATACTTTAAATAACAGTATATAGGTAAAAAAAAAAGATCAGAGACCAGTGCCTGTGTATAGAACATGCATTGTTTAATCTTGAATTCGGTTAGTATCATTAATATGAACCGTAATTAAAAATGATAAAATATACTTCTAGGTCTTAAATGGAAAGTTACAAAACTAAATAAATGTCAATACTGAGGGGAAAATCTACAGGCATAAGCTTATCTCTAAATAGAGGAAAGTGCCTGTTAGAAAATCGTTTGAGTTAAGCCTTCTTGGTCCAACTTTTAAATTAATTGTGATCGAATAATTCAATTAAAATCCTTCTTTTGAGCCCCAATTTAAAGTTATAACTTCCCCTAATACACTCTTTGATTAAAAACTTCTTTTTTAACAATAAGACTGTTTATTTAAAGAATTCAATACGTCATATAGATCTAGAGCCATTCTTGTTGCGACGTGACGTAACACAAACATAAGTAAATTGACGCAAAACAAAACTAGGTTTATTTCGAAATGATAATGAGACAAGTTTGTGTTCGACTGGGTCATTTAAATCTATTATTGTAATGACATGTCTGTAATCGTCCAAGAACAGGGTCATTTGTACTAAAGTTATTTAAATTAGCTGCATTAATTGTTGTGTTAAAATTCCTGGAGAGAAGTTTGGCAGTCTTGCACAGCAGACATGTAAGCAGATTTTTTTTATCATGGTTTTCTCTTTACATGCTTATTTCTTTTTATTTTCGGTGAAACTAAACGGAAAAAATTAATACAAAGTTAATTTGTTAACTCGTTAATACCTAAACAAACAAATGGTCGGAAGCCTTTGTGTCCATAACGATTTTTTCTATCAGAATCAATCCTAAGATTTTTTCCGCAATGAAATTTAATTTCTGCGTCATATATGTGCATATAGATATTGAAAATAGCCCCCTTCCAATTTGTTAAGTATGCTGCCCAGTGCATTTGTCCCGTGTCATTAGTGTATATATCATCATGAGTTTCTTGGCACTACCGGTTCAATATTTATTTGAATACGTACTGGACCTCTTGTACAGTTTTATTCTCTCAGTGAAAATATCTATTTGCAGGCCGAAACGTTACAAAAAATATCTGAAGAGCCACCCATGTCCAACCATCGGAATATTTCAAAATAACATATTTTCTAGTTATTCATATAAAATACTACCTTATCCTTGTTAAAAGGGTCTTCAAGGCTCGCAAGGGACAGGAACAAAATCCTTCTTCTTAGTCACCTCATGTAATGTGACTGAATCCTTTTGATGATCTATTTTATTAATAAAAAAAAATGCCAGAGACATGCCTGTGTCTCGGATGCGGCATGAAAAAAATGAAGAAAGTAGTGCATTTTTATGGATTACATTAATGATTATTAATGCGTTATGTGATACATACAAAAAAAAAATATTAAAAAAAGAAAGAAAACATGGAAAAATATGTAACATTTGCCAAGCAAAACGACAGTAGACGAGAAAAAAGAAAAGCTGTGTACCATATTTACAACTATACTTTAGACTACAACACATCCGACAGAGACGCATATACTGCACATGCATGTCAGGCTCTGAACACTTGACTTGAACATGATATTGAACTTTTATTTTATTCATTTAGAATGTTTTAAGGCCATTAATTTTGTATGTTTCACTTTGTAGTCATTTATTCTTGAAATAAACCAGTCTTAACATGTCCTACTTCTGTGCATAAAGATTGCACAAAAGGTATTGATTGAACATTTATGTAAAAAAATCGTCATTGATTTTATCGAATGACAGTCCGAATTTGAATTCTCAAAGGAAACGACTTTTTTTTTAAGAATGTTTAAATTTAAGCGCATAAAAGATTAAGATTTTCTAACGTCACTTCCTGTGTTTACTGGTTTCCAAAACACTCGCACCTGTTGCAGACTGGCCAAATCCTTTGTAAGCTGACATTTATGTAACATTCTCATATAACTTTAACACAAATTAGCTTCATTTTTATTCGTATCTTTATTTTTACGATGCTTGCTTTAGTCAGACTTCAAATACTGAAAGGTTGATTTGGCTAAAATAGATGCGTTTTCAGCTTAAAATTACGTTAAGCCAATAATTTAAGGTTCATCATAACAAATGGACAAATATGGCTGTATTTACACCTCAAAAACTACTCTGTGTACAGACTTACCTGTACAGTTTTGAAACTTTTAAGGCCTGGCATCCACTAGATGTATAAAAGTTAAATGCATTTTGTGTTTCAAAAAGATAAATTCTTTTTTGGATTTTGATGGGCATTTTTTTTCGTTCCTGCAGAAGGTGTAAACATAAACTAAGTTGGGTAAATCTTTGAGATGCTCCCTCTCAGGTAACAACTGTACTGCATTGAATTGATTGTCCTTAATTGGCATGGACAATAGAAGGACAATAGATATCTACACAACATTAGGTGAGTTAAAGGGTGTAACTGAGCGGACAGTATCAAATGTAAATTAGATGTTTGTTTATTTTTACACCAACAGCAGGAAGGAAAAAAAATGCCCATCAAAATCCAAAAAAGATTTTATCTTTCTGAAACACAAAATGCATTTAAATTTTATATATCTAGTGGATGCCAGGCCCTAAAACTTTCCAAACTGCACAGGTTAGTCTGTACACAGAGTAGTTTTTGAGGTGTAAATACAGCCATTTTTGTCCATTTGTTATGATGAACCTTAAGGCATAGCATGCCTTATATTTAAAGTTCAAATGCATTTTATATTTTAGTGAATTGAAAAATGATTTTGCACTGCACTTTTTGCATTCCTATTAATCCAAATTTTAAATTGAATATGATTGTGTGAACAAAATGTGTTTTTTTAATTTGTTTTTTTTTTCACTTTTGTTTGTAGAAATTAAATTCCCTCCCTTTTTAGCTCACCGGTGTGAGCTTATGCCATCACTTGGCGTCCGTCGTCGTCTGTCGTCGTAAACTATTTCTAAAATCTTCTCCACTGAAACTACTGGGCCAAATACCTTCAAACTTTAACTAAATGTTCCTTAGGGTATCTAGTTTATAAATTGTATCCGAAGTTTTGATCCATTGACAAACATGGCTACCATGGCTAAAAATAGAACATAGGGGTCTAATGCAGTTTTTGGCTTATATCTTAAAAACTAAAGCTTTTAGAGCAAATCTGACAAGGGGGAAAATTGTTCAATTGGTCAAGATCTATCAGCCCTGAAATTTTCAGACGAATCGAACAACCCATTGTTGGGTTGCTGCCACTAATTTGGTAGTTTTAAGGAAATTTTGCAGTTTTTTGTTATCTTGAATATTATTATAGATAGATATAAACTGTAAACAGCAATAATGTTCAGCAAAGTAAGATCTACAAAAAAGTTAATAAGACCATAATTGTCAATTGACTCCTTAAGGAGTTATTGCCCTTTAAAGACAATTTTACACAATTTGTTCATCAAGTTTGCTAACATTTAAAAATCTTCTCCTCTGAAACTACTGGGCCAATTACCTTCAAACTTTAACTAAATGTTCCTTAGGGTATCTTGTTTATAATATATATCCAAAGTTTTGATCCATTGACAAACATGGCCGCCATGGCTAAAAATAGAACATAAGGGTCAAATGCAGTTTTTGGCTTATATCTCAAAAACTAAAGCTTTTATACAATCTGACATGAGGTAAAATTGTTCAATTGGCCAAGATCTATCGGCCCTGAAATTATCAGACGAATCAAACAACCCATTGTTGGGTTTCTGCCACCAAATTGGTAGTTTTAACAAAATTTTGCAGTTTTTTGTTATTATCTTGAATATTATTATAGATAGATATAAACTGTAAGCTGCAATAATGTTCAGCAAAGTAAGATCTACAAAAAAGTTAATCTGCCCAAAATTGTCAATTGACCCCTTAAGGAGTTATTGCCCTTTAAGGACAATTTTACACAATTTGTTCATCAAGTTTGCTAACATTTATTTTTTAACAAAAAATACCATGACTGAAAAACTTTAGAAAGTATGGCCAAACTGGCAGTATAGACAAATTTCAAATTCATGTACTTTCCTGTAAAATGGTAAAATTCATGTTGCAATGCCTTTGTTATTACGTCACAGTATGAACCGTTTATTTGTGACAGGGTCCGACACTTACGGTTGTCCGATTGCCCGGGGCAAGCTAATGCCGTATTCGGACAAGTAAAAACATCATCTTGGTTGTCCGATCGGGCAAGTGAAAAAAAGTGTTATATGATTAAAATTTCACAAAATCAATAGTGTCTGTTGTTTTGTCCATAGATTACTCAGTGATAACACCGCACGGTCGAGTAAAGTGGTCTTTACCCCCCTTCAATGCGTATATTTCGTCAATTGTTCGCACTGAATTCCCCATTTTACCAAAAATAGATCACGTTTAAAAATATTGGCCAATCAGGCGTTGCTTCGCCATTATCGTTATCCATTGGGACACCACTCGGGCGTTTCCGACGCACGTGTTATTCCCACCGACCAATGGAAAGCGGAGGTCTATTTTCGTTGTTCTAACTTTATAATTTGACATCGGATGTGTATTTCCCTAAGATGGAAAAACGTAAAAGCTTGAAAGAGAAAATGAAATTAAACTTTAACAAATTTGTCAGTTGTTGTCAGTTTATCAAGAAGGGTTATTTGAAATGGCATTTCTTAGATAAATTATTATGAAATAAGTATCTCTATGTAAATAATCCAATTCCCGTATATTCATCGATCTTTTCCCTCCCTCCTCGGCTCATATATGCCTCATAGTATATTTTCATACTCCATAATCAATTTACACCCCATATACATGATAACTATATTTTATCTGCATGTACTACATTACAACCACAAAAATAGCATACATGTACAAGTTTGGGCATGTAGATTTCACTTTCGGACAAGTAAAAGTAATAGGGCACTTGCCCAACTGGACAAGTTGGTATAAAAGTTAATGTCGAACCCTGTGTGATGTGGTTTACGCTGATTGAACTAAGATTAACCGGTGTAATTCATTCATTAAAAACAATTTGAGATTGTTGTATGGCAGTATGGCGGAAACATCTTGCAATGAACTATCCCAGATTCCCAAATACATTTAGCAACACATGTAAGGTCTTAAAAGTAGTCACCGGGTCCGTTCGCCCTAATTCCTGTTCGCACTGAGTCCGTTCGCCCTGATTTCTATTTTATTTTGTTGTCTTGTATAATATAAATTATTTGAATTAATTATGTTAAAGTTTGTTGAAAATTCCGCCGAAATATTTATGTTGTATTGATGCTACCAGATAATTATTTTTCTTTTGATTTGCATTGACTATTCTTGCCAGAATATTCATCATATTGAATGTGGACAGTATTTTGAAGAAGAAGAAGTGTTCAGGAACTGGTCACCAAGTTATCTGTATGAATTTATCTTTTTTGAAACCTTGTAACAATTTCAAACCAATCCAAACAGGTATAACAAGATCCAACTCATTCAACACCTTGAGATCAAAGAAGCCAAGCGGCGAAAACAATTTCCCTTTAATGTCTTACAATTCTTACATCATTGTTTTAACTCATTCCAAGCTGACTTGTTTTAAAAAAAAACAATTTCATTATTAATCCATCAAAAACAATAACTACAACAATCAGTGAGATCAAAGACATCGTAATCATATCTAATCAGCATTCTAAATTACAAAACTTTGAATTTTCGTAATACTAAGGCTTTTCCACCTCAGAAATATATTATCTTAGCTGTATTTGTCAAAACTTTTAGGAATTTTGGGTCCTCAATGCTCTTCAACTTCATACTTTATTTGGCCTTAATAACTTTTTTTATTCGAGCATCACTGATGAGTCTTTTGTAGACGAAACGTGTGTCTGGCATACAAAATTTCAATCTTGGTATCTATGATGAGTTTATTTACAATCAACAGTCATTAAAAGTAATTCTGAATAAAAACAAATGTAACAATGAAGCCAATTAGCCTGATTAATGCTCCAAAACAAATTTTTTTTTTTTTAATTTCAATGTTTATTCAAGAATTTGGAGATATACATTTTAATATTTACCATTTAAATATCTGAATAAGATTACAAAACTTTAATTAAACCATTAATATTATTTTTTTTTTATAAAAAATAGGGCGAACAGACTCTATGGGCGAACGGACCCGTTACCATTGTCTATAGTTACTAAACATAAGCCTACATTACTCCAAAAGGAGACAATTTGGACTTGTATTAGCTAAAATTGTCATTGTTTCCTGTCTGATAACCAAAAGATAAATTATAACTGATAAAAAATGTATTAGATCATATGTAACGAAAATGGGTATTTGACAATTTTGTACATTGTTCAAAATATAGATCCCTAGTTGATAAGTATTTCAGATTAAAACACAGATATACATGTATGTATCACCCCACCCCTGGTTTTGTCATCTGCTGAACACTTTGCCAACCCTGCATTAAACATCACTTAAATAAAAAAATGTATGAAACATAATTCAGTTGAAAAGCATCTTTTTGGAAAAACCTTTACCTGAGTTACATTTTTAGAAACACTATATTGGGCTCCTGTAGGGTACCCCCTTCCATCACAAGGTCATGTTTAAAAGTAGTCTCAGGTCACCAGGTCACCTTTAACCTAATTTGAAAGCTATAACAATCCACATGTGCACATTTAAAACAAATAAAAATAAAAATGAAGATCTATCACAGGTGTCTTTTTATCATGCTACTACCATAGCAACTAGGCAAAAAAACTCCATGATTGCCAGTCTGTAAATATTGAACATTTCACATTTTGGGAGTGTAAAGGAAATGAAGGGATATCGTAATAGATAAATGGCACATAGTCCCCACACTCATGTCAGTTCAGTAAATCAATTGCAAAAAAAAAGGAACAACACTCTATTGCTTTTCTTTATCCATTAATATTGTTATCCATACGTTTCAACTTTCTAATTTAAGAAAAAGTGGGTTTGTCATGTTTGTGAGGGGCTTTCTTGCATTTTTTCCACAAAAAGTTTGAAATTTTTACAAAATGTATATATTTTATTAGCATTTGGAATTAAGACATCCACTGGTTACATTAGATATTTATCATGTCTGTAGATCATGCTTTAGACTTATTATACCCCACACAACGGGTTGCGGAGGGTATAATGTTTTTGACTTGTCCGTCAGTCTGTCTGTCCGTCAGTCCTGTTTCTTGTCATCGCAACTCCTCTCAAACCACCCAACAGAATTTCACGAAACCTTTTTAGATAATAAGGACATACTATGTAGTTGTGCATATTGACAGTAAATTGCGATTCAATTTTTTTTCTAGGAGTTACGCCCCTTTGAACTTATTTACTTTAATGTACTACTGCAACAGTTTGTCATCGCAACTCCTCTCAAACCACACAACAGAATTTCATGAAACCTTTTCAGATAATAAGGACATACTATGTAGATGTGCATATCGACAGGAAATTACGATTCAATTATTTTTCCAGGAGTTACGCCCCTTTGAACTTGTTTGCCCAATATACTACTGTCCATCAGTCCTGTTTTTTGTAATCGCAACTCCTCTCCAACCACCGAACACAATTTCACGAAACCTTTTTAGATAATAAGGACATACTATGTTGTTGTGCATATCGACAGGAAATTGCGATTCAATTTTTTTTTCTAGGAGTTACGCCCCTTTGAACTTATTTACTTAAATGTACTACTGCAACAGTTTGTCATCGCAACTCCTCTCAAACCACACAACAGAATTTCATGAAACCCTTTTCAGATAATAAGGATATACTATGTAGATGTGCATATTGACAGGAAATTACCATTCAATTTTTTTTCCAGGAGTTACGCCCTTTTGAACTTATTTTACTACTGCAACCTTTTGTCATCGCAACTACTCTCAAACCACACAACAGAATTTCATGAAACCTTTTCAGATAATAAGGACATACTACGTAGATGTGCATATCAACAGGAAATTACGATTCAATTTTTTTTCCAGGAGTTACGCCCCTTTGAACTTATTTGCCCAATATACTACCGTCCGTCAGTCCTGTTTTTTGTCATCGCAACTCCTCTCAAACCACCCAACAGAATTTCACGAAACCTTTTTAGATAATAAGGACATACTATGTAGTTGTGCATATCGACAGGAAATTGCGATTCAATTTTTTTTCTAGGAGTTACGCCCCTTTGAACTTATTTACTTTAATGTATTACTGCAACAGTTTGTCATCACAACTCCTCTCAAACCACACAACAGAATTTCATGAAACCTTTTCAGATAATAAGGATATACTATGTAGATGTGCATATTGACAGGAAATTACGATTCAATTTTTTTTCCAGGAGTTTCGCCCCTTTGAACTTATTTTACTACTGCAACCTTTTGTCATCGCAACTCCTCTCAAACCATACAACAGAATTTCATGAAACCTTTTCAGATAATAAGGACATACTACGTAGATGTGCATATCGACACGAAATTACGATTCAATTTTTTTCCCAGGAGTTACACCCCTTTGAACTTATTTGCCCAATATACTACTGCAACCTTTTGTCATCGCAGCTCCTCTCAAACCACACAACAGAATTTCATGAAATCTTTTCAGATAATAAGGATATACTATGTAGATGTGCATATTGACAGGAAATTACGATTCAATTTTTTTTCCAGGAGTTACGCCCCTTTGAACTTATTTTACTACTGCAACCTTTTGTCATCGCAACTCCTCTCAAACCACACAACAGAATTTCATGAAACCTTTTCAGATAATAAGGACATACTACGTAGATGTGCATATCGACAGGAAATTATGATACAATTTTTTTTCCAGGAGTTACGCCCCTTTGAATTTATTTGCCCAATATACTACTGCAACCTTTTGTCATCGCAACTCCTCTCAAACCACACAACAGAAGTTCATGAAACTGTAGATAATAAGGACATACTATGTAGATGTGCATATTGACAGGAAATTATGATTCAATTTTTATACGACCGCAAAAAAATTTTTGTGGTCGTATATTGGTATGACGTTGTCGTCGTCGTCGTCCGAAGACACAGTAGTTTTCGCACTCTAACTTTAGTTTAAGTGAATGGATCTCAATGAAATTTTACCATAAGGTTCAATACCACAAAAGGAAGGTGGGGATTGATTTTGGGGGTTATGGTACCAACAGTTAAGGAATTAGGGGCCAAAAAGGGGCCAAACATAAGCATTTTTGTAACTTCCAGACATAACTTGTGTATAAGTGTATAAATCTCTCTGACATTGTACCACAAGGTTCCATATCACAAAGGGAATGCTGGGATTGATTTTGGGGGTAATTGCCTCCAAATTTTAGGAATTAGGGACCAAAAAGGGGCAAAAAACAAGCATTTTTCTAGTTTCATGACAATAACTTGTGTGTAAGTGTATGGATCTCTCTGACATTATATCACAAGGTTCCATATCACAAAGGGAATGCTGGGATTGATTTTGGGGGTAATTGCCTCCAAATTTTAGGAATTAGGGGCCAAAAAGGTGGAAAAAACAAGCATTTTTCTAGTTTCATGACAATAACTTGTGTGTAAGTGTATGGATCTTTATGAAATTGTACTACAAGGTTCCATATCACAAAGGGAAAGCTGGAATTGAGTTTGGGGGTAATTGCCCAAAAAGTTTAGGAATAAGGGGCCAAAAAGGGGCCAAAAATAAGCATTTTTGTCGAGCCTGCAACTTTTGTCGCAGAAAGCTCGACATAGGGATAGTGATCCGGTGGGGGCGATGGCCGCGGCGTTAGCTAACTTCTTAAAAGCTTTATATTTTAGAAGGTGGAAGACCTGGATGCTTCATACTTTGTAAATGGATGCCTCATGTTACAAAGTTTCCGTCAGTCACATGTCCAATGTCCTTGACCTCATTTTCATGGTTCAGTGACTACTTGAAAAAAAAGTTAACATTTTTTGTAATGTTAAATTCTCTCTTATTACAAGTAGCAGGATAACTATATTTGGTATGTGCGTACCTTGCAAGGTCCTCATGCCCGTCAGACAGTTTTCACTTGACCTCGACCTCATTTCATGGATCAGTGAACAAGGTTAAGTTTTGGTGGTCAAGTCCATATCTCAGATACTATAAGCAATAGGTCTAGTATATTCGGTGTATGGAAGGACTGTAAGGTGTACATGTCCAACTGGCAGGTGTCATTTGACCTTGACCTCATTTTCATGGTTCAGTGGTTATAGTTAAGTTTTTGTGTTTTGGTCTGTTTTTCTTATACTGTATGCAATAGGTCTACTTTATTTGGTGTATGGAATGATTGTAAGGTGTACATGTCTAGCTGGCAGGTGTCATCTGACCTTGACCTCGTTTTCATGGTTCAGTGGTCAAAGTTAAGTTTTTGAGTTTTGGCCTTTTTTTCTAATACTATATGCAATAGGTCAACTATATTTGGTGTATGGAAATATTTTATGATCTATATGTCAGTCGTGCAGGTTTTATATGACCTTGACCTCATTTTCAAGGTTCATTGCTCAGTGTTAAGTTTTTGTGTTTTGGTCTGTTTTTCTTAAACTATAAGCAATAGGTCAACTATATTTGTTATATGGAAGAATTGTTAAACTGTACATGTCTGCCTGGCATGGTTCATCTGACCTTGACCTCATTTTCATGGTTCATTTGTCAATGTTTAGTTTTCTTGGTTAATGTTATGTTTATGTGACAGTTGTAATAAAGCTTTATATTTACGACTAGCAACATAATATCAATGATTAGTAAAGAAGGCGAGACATTTCAGCGTGTGCACTCTTGTTCTAGTTTCCAGACAATAACTTGTGCTCAAGTGTATGAATCTCTCTGAAATTGTACTGCAAGGTACCATACCACAAAGGGAAGGCTGGGATTGATTTTGGGGGTAATTTCCTCAAAATTTTAGTAATTAGGGGCCATAAAAGGGCAAAAAAACAAGAATTTTTCTGGTTTCAGGACAATAACTTGTGTGTAAGTGTATGGATCTTTATGAAATTGTACTGCAAGGTTCCATATCACAAAGGGAAAGCTGGGTTTGAGTTTGGGGGTAATTACCCTAAACGTTTAGGAATTTGGGGCCAAAAAGGGGCCAAAAACAAGCATTTTTCTAGTTTCCAGACAATAACTTGTGTTCAAGTGTATGGATCTCTCTGAAATTGTATTGCAAGGTACCATACCTCAAAGTGAAAGCTGGGATTGAGTTTGGGGATGATGAATCATAAGGGGGTTCAAAAAATTGGGGGGGGGGGGGGGGGGGGTTTCCTTTTTTTTCTTTAAAATTTTCCATTTTAAATTGGTTATTTCTGATTTATATATAAAAGCAAATAATAATGATATGGTTTGAATAGGTAAATTAAAAACTTTTAAATTCTTAGACCACTTTCATTCTGTGTGAGAAACCTATGCTGTGTCAAATATGTAATTACAATCCAAATTCAGTGCTGTATCAAGCTTGAATGTTGTGTCCATACTTGCCCCAACTGTTCAGGGTTCGACCTCTGCGGTCGTATCAAGCTGCGCCCCAGCGGAGCATTTTATTTTTTCTGATACAATTTTTTTTTCTTACACTTATTTTTTTTCTCCAATGACAATGTGAGGACGTGCAGTATGTGAGCGCGCTCACTAAGGTTCTTTCATTATAATAAATATATTTATTGTTCTTTTCAGAATGGCATTTTATCAGGTAAGTTACAATGTATATATTTTAAAGATAAAGTAGTGAAAACAACATTGATTTTTTTTTAATTTGGATAATTTGGCCAAAATATTTTGTGTAATTATGGCTTAATTTTCCTCCAAAATAAAAAGTTTTTCAAATATGTCCTGTATTACATAGAACATAGAGAAATGTGTAAGATATCAATATAATTAAGACACCCAATGAATTTAACTTTAATAATAGATTTACACAGCAAGGATCCAGTAGCAGGTACAAAAAATACCTGTACAACACAGCAATATAGGATACAGTAAACTGGTTCCCTGTCTCTAATAGTATTAATAGTACTGCAGTGAAAAAATTATTAACAATGGTTGTCCATGTCCCAAAAGCTGTTCCTCCAAACATTTTTCTATCATTTATTTTCATGGGTAATGTACCAATTTCTGTGGATTGAGTATAATTTGCATTTTGGTGGATATTTTTTTTGTGATTTTGCAAAATTCTGCATATAAGCATTTAGAAAATTTGACAAAATATAACGTTGAACATTTAAATTCTTGGTTCACCTGAACCACTATATCCACAATAATTGGTATCCCATGAATAATATTGAATCAACAATTATCAGTAATAATTCCTTGTGAATTTTAGAGTAATTACCCAGGAGGAGGTGGAGGTTATGGTGGTTATGGTGGGGGTGGCTATGGAGGAGGACCCCCACCACCACCAGGAGGAGGATATGGTAATGCAGCATACCCAGGAGGAGGATATGGTGGGGGGTATGGAGGGGCCTATAATGTCAATGCTTCTCCATATGGAGGATTTGGAGTAGGAGGATACCTAACTGGATCTGCTCCACCCCCTGGAGGACAACATGGTTATACAGGTAAGAATTCCAGGACAGCAGTGTCCAAATTTTGAAAGAATGTAGCAGACCAAAAGAGCATTTCAGGGGAAAATTAGGCAAACTAATGCCATTCATGTCAGCCATATTTAAAGAATGAAAATGTTTCTGAAGGATACAGCCTTTATTACAGGTTGTGATTAGGGCCTAATAACAATCTGTATCCTTTGGAAAAACTTTGTAGTCACTGAAACAAATTACTATCAGAATCCTTTTGAACCTTTTTCTGCTCAAAGCTGAAACTACTCATTTGAATACTTATGTATATTACAGGTGGTTATACCAATAGCAATGGATATGGTAATTTCACGGCTGCCATGGGTTGTCAGCAAACGTATGCTGGTCATCAACAGGTACATATTTCCTACTAGGAACTCTAAGAAGCATTCTGGGTAATATTTTCAAAAGCATAATTCCAAATGTTATAAGTTGACAACTTCCCAAAAAATGGAAAATTCATCCAAGGGCGATCACTCTAGCAGGCATCAAAAGCAATTTCATTTGGACCTGGATATCATCAATAGTTTTCAGTTTTGATGTTAAGGCAAATTTCCATTTTGATGTGAAGAAATTTAAAGACAGATTAAATTTATATTGTCAATAAGAAATAAAGTGGAATGGTTTGTCTTACATGCCTTACAAGGCCCATTGTAAACCAATAAAAACAAACTGATGATGCTTTTTCCATTAAATAGGTAGCTCCACCTCCAGCCCCTCCCAGTGTTTACCAAAATGGGATTGACCAACAAATGGCATCAATGCACCAAGGGATGCAGCAGTTGATGAGACAAGTAAGTTTTACTGTAAATTCAGAAATTTTTTAGTGCTTTAATTTTTGCGATTTATGAAGTATGGATAAAAATGTGAGATAAATTCTGCATGCAAATAATGCTATAAAATATAAAATGCAACAATTTTTAAATTTTTATTTTTGTGATACCTACATTGTATTCGGTCACAAATTTCTTAATGGTAAAAAGGAAATTATGGTGTAAACAATGAATAATGCTGTAGCGTTATCATCTTAAATTGTTGCTATTGAATCTTCCTTATGCTATGGCCTCTGTGGTCTTTTGGTTGCATGTTTTCCTCATGTGCAGGATGTCAGTGGTTTGATCCCTGGCTAGGTAAAAATATCAGACTTGAAAACTGCTTTTTGCATTTTTCTCCACTAAGAAGGCTGCATTTAGGAGTAGTAGCAAAGACTGGTTGGCCTGTCGTCAGAATAATGTGTCCTAGTGAGGTTACACATCTTCCTGTGGACTTATTATGTGTACTGGAATGTTAAAAAGTCAACTCAGTCTGTCAGTCGAGTATAAGTCAGGGTTTATATTCATATCACGTTATCATGTTTATCGTCCTTAGTATGCATTTAATTTGCCACTGAATGGTAAAACAGCTATCCAATTTTCAATAAGGAACAAAATCATAATTTGATAAGTGTTTGAGTATTGAAATTTTTTTGTCACCTATTCTTTTTTTTACAAAACTTGTTCATTTGACTGCAGTATTGCCCAGAAAATTGAGATTTGTGATTTTAAGCCATTAATTTGCATTTATTTTGCCATGTTAAATACAGGTCATCTATTCTTTAAATTTTCGATCTCTGACAAAATTAAATTTAATGACAATGTTGCCATAAGTGGGAAATATGGTTCAGTTTAGTATTTAAAGAAAAAATATAAGAAGTAAATATTTATTCAATATAATTTCCCATTTTAGCAAGCTGAAATGGAGTTCCGTGCCCAAGAGAAGGAAAATAGGGTGAGTAAAATAAAAAACCATCCTACTTAGGGAAAATAGGTTTAGGTAAAAAAGAAAAAAAAAATATGCTAATCAACATTTGCTCACACATTGTTGTCAATATATTGGAATTTTATGAGACTGTCATACAAGTGAGAGGTTTAGCTAGCTATAAAACCAGGTTTAATCCACCATCTTCTGCCTGTACCAAGTCAGGAATATGACAGTTGTTTTCAATTCAATTCAATTCAATTTCAAAAATAAAAAGCATGAGATATTACTTTGTTAAAGTAAATATCAAGTCTGCCTACAACAAGTAAACAGTGGTTTACCCCCTTCTTTGGAAAAAAGAGAAAAAAGAATTAAATGAATGTGCAAATCTACAACAAATTGAGTTAAGAGTATTTTCTTTTCTACAAAAAAACATTTAAATTTCATATCTTAATCTTGTTACTAGGGAAATAATCATATAAAATTCATTAGAATATCAAAATGAAATATAAATGGGGAGATACAAAAATCAACTTTAGTTGCTAAACATCCATGGGTTCAGGGGTCACCACACTAGAGAAGCTCCAGGGAGAAGTTTATGTTGCCCTCGATTTTCAGTAAAATTCCCCAATGTCGCTTCATGATTTTTGAAAAATTCTGCATCCAAATGCAAACGATCTGATATTCAAAGAAATAAAAAATATTTTATCTCTGAATTCAGAATTGAATTGTCCGCAATCATTTACCCCAACATTGAAATTGCAAGACAGGGTGTACTATACGCAATAAACAATAAAAAAACTTGATTTTGCAATGTTTGTTTAAATGTTTCGCCATCTTTGTTATTGAAATTGTAGAGGGCGCCCTTTTTTCTTTTCAAAACTCTTATCATTTACCTAATCCATATTAATAATGCAATTTTAATTTTGATATCTCACATTTACTGATAGATATCAAAATTTGATGCTTCATTAAAAATTTCTCATTTCTTTTCAAATGTTGCATAATGTAAACTGGAATCCACTTGTATTTAAACTATGTACACGGTTAAGTAGTGAGCCGGGAACCAGCACAACGATGTATAAACTACAAAACGTAGTCAGTTTTTCGTTAAGGATTTGGTGTAACAGACTGCTGCATGTGCTTTGTTTTAGCTAAAGGTCTTTAAACAATATTGTGATGAATACATTTAGTATTAATTTACTAAAGGACGGCACTATTTTACTTTCAAAGTCTTATATTTTTGTAAACTATTAAGTACGAATTTTCTGTCACATCTCACACTGTATTTGTTCTCGATTTACACGATACTTTTTCAATTTCCGTAATGATAAATACAACTTTTCCAATGTTACTTTTTGTTATTTTGTCATATATTAATACTTGTAAAGCATTCTAGAATCATTTGCATGCATTTTCAACGTCTACTTGATGATTGAAAATGGCCTTTTCCATGAAAATACCTCAAACAATCGCAACACAGAGTTTTCAACAAATGACAAAAACTTTTTTTTTTCTGAATTCCTATTAAAAATAATTTAAAGAACAAATATATATCTATTATGATCTTGGCAATGAAAGACAGTGAAACTGTATTAAAAGATATTTAAACTTACTTATCAATTAGTTATTATTTTTAAGTCTCCCAAACGAAGTTTGGGAAGACTTATTGTTTTTGCTCAGTTCTTCTTATTATTCTTCTTCTTCTTCTTCCGCCGCTTTTAAATTTGAACTTGTCCACACCCGTTCTCCAAAACCGCTTGTCAGATTAACTTAGGGTTTCACAATATGTTAGACTAACATGTCTAGTGGTGCAATCAGGGTTTTGTTTGTGCAATGGGTTTTATAAAGGGGTACTTTGAGGGGCAAAAAGAAAAGAGGGTTTTACTATAGAACCCTATGGGATTTTATTTTTAAAAATTTACAAATGAGTATAAATTGAAAACCGTTTGTGATAGACACAATCTTTTTAATTGAAAATGTTCTAAATGATAAAGCCCATTTAATACAGGTTTAGTCCCCAGGGGTCACCCCCACCCCCTGCCATTTAAAAAAGTTCTAATACCTTGTAAGTGGTCAAGATCCCCACCCCTAAACCATATATATTCTGGTTTGTCATACTAAGATGGTTTGAATGATATACAGGGTTGGTCCACAGGGGTCATCCCGACCCCCTGCCATTTGAGAAAGTTTTAATATCTTGTAAATGGTCGAGATCCCCACCCCTAAACCATATATATTCTGGTTTGTCATGATAAAGCACATCAAATGTAATACAGGGTTAGTCCCCAGGGGTCACCCCCACCCCATGCCATTTAAGAAAGTCCTAATATCTTGTAAGTGGTCAAGATCCCCACCCCTAAACCAATTATATTTTGGTTTGTCATGCTAAGATGGTTTGAATGATATACAGGGTTAGTCCCCAGGGGTCATCCCGACCCCCTGCCATTTGAGAAAGTTCTAATATCTTGTAAGTGGTCAAGATCCCCACCCCTAAACCATATATATTCTGGTATGTCATGCTAAGATGGTTTGAATGATATACAGGGTTAGTCCCCAGGGGTCATCCCGACCCCCTGCCATTTGAGAAATTTCTAATATCTTGTGAATGGTCGAGATCCACACCCCTAAACCTTATATATTCTGGTTTGTCATGATAAAGCACATCAAATGTAATACAGGGTTAGTCCCCTGGGGTCACCCCACCCCATGCCATTTAAGAAGGTTCTAATATCTTGTAAGTGGTCAAGATCCCCACCCCTAAACCATATATATTCTGGTTTGTCATGCTAAGATGGTTTGAATGATATACAGGGTTAGTCCCCAGGGGTCATCCCGACCCCCTGCCATTTGAGAAAGTGCTAATATCTTGTGAATGGTCGAGATCCCCACCCCTAAACTATATATATTCTGGTTTGTCATGATAAAGCACATCAAATGTAATACAGGGTAAGTCCCCAGGGGTCACCCCCACCCCATGCCATTTAAGAAAGTTCTAATATGTCGAGATCCCCACCCCTAAACCATATATATTCTGGTTTGTCATGCTAAGGTGGTTTGAATGATATACAGGGTTAGTCCCCAGGGGTCATCCCGACCCCCTGCCATTTGGGAAAGTTCTAATATCTTGTAAATGGTCGAGATCCCCACCCATAAACCATATATATTCTGGTTTGTCATGATAAAGCACATCAAATGAAATACAGGGTTAGTCCCCAGGGGTCACCCCCACCCCCTGCCATTTAAGAAAGTTCTAATATCTTGGAAGTGGTCAAGATCACCACCCCTAAACCATATATATTCTGGTTTGTCATGCTAAGATGGTTTGAATGATATACAGGGTTAGTCCCCAGGGGTCATCCCGACCCCCTGCCATTTGAGAAAGTTCTAATATCTTGTAAATGGTCGAGATCCCCACCCCTAAACCATATATATTCTGGTTTGTCATGCCAAGATGATTTGAATGATATACAGGGTTAGTCCCCAGGCGTCCCTTATGCATATAACTTTACTGGACCAAACCAATTTTCACTGGACTTTGCCCAATGTCAGGCGACCCTTTTGAATTACGAATTATGGTAGCTTCGTTTGGGAGACTTAGTAACAGCATCCTGTTACAATCATTTCTTGTTTTAAAGGGTTCTTGCTTTATTTAATGTATTAAATACAACTGTGAGCAATTCAAAACAGAGTTTTGTTTGAAAAATCTTTGAGATGCAGCAAAATTTGACCAATATCAAATCTTCAATTCATTCAGACCTACATGTAACTGCACAACCGTAGCACTTACGGTCCTTATGATAATTTTTGACAATTTGCATCCGTAGGTACAAAGGTAATTCACACCACAAGCATGGCAAGTCAAGTAAATACCACCTTAACAGTTGTCATGTAAAATGCTTTGAAAAATAACAAAAAGGTATAGATGCTTGAAAAATTTAATTCTTAAAATGTATTAATGCGATCCTTCAATTTTTCCTGAAGTCTCCCTGGTGGGGCTTCACTTCTCCTTGAAGTCTCCCTGTTGGGTCTTCACCTCTCCCTGTTTCGCTGCCAGGGAGAAGTCATTTCTCCCTATAATTCTGAAGTGTGGTGACCCCTGGGGTTACTGTCTGGTTGATGTACAACAGTACCAATTAGTATTGACATAGGGCAAAGGCTGAGGTTAATACTGGTTTTGGGTTTGTTAAAACTCTAGGTCTGGCTTTAATAGCTTAGTAATTGTAATCTTTGTTAATTATGGATATGATTTCTTATTAGCTAATTAGTATCCTGAAAAAAAATGAAAAAGAAAAAAAAATTAAAGGAAAAGGTAGTGAGTTCTTGCATTGTTAATCTTGAAATAAAAAGAATGGACAATTGATTTAAGCTATCAAGGTGTAATACCACCATTGATTTTCCCCTATTAGTCTTTGTTAAATTTGTACTTTTCAAAAAATTATGCAGAATTTATCTTTGTTTCAAGTAAAGAAATACTTGGCATGAGTAAAGTTTTATTCTGTCCAGTACTATAAAAAAAATTTCACCTAACATTTCATTGCATATAAGAAAATAACCATCACTGGAAGTTAACCAATCAAATTTTCCCCCTTTTTTAACCTGTGTACAAGCTTTTAGTAACCATGTAACCTCAAGTTTCCAAAATATTCTATAGAAACCCCAAATAAAGAAATAATGGTGCTTTGAAATACCCAAGATATATGTTAATGACTCAGAAATGTTTTACTGCAATGAAATGTAGGATCAATTACCTACAACTGTCAAATTCAAGGGAATATTTTTTTTCGACCTATTTTCGTATGCAACCGGATGTGACGTACTATGATTTAGTGGTATTACACCTCAAGAACAGTTAAATAGGTTATGGTAATTTTCTAAAAAAAATGAAGATTGTATGTCTGTATCATAAATTTATATTATTACTGTATTTAATAGGGAAGAAGGAGAAGGAGGAAGAAAAGGAGAGACGATGAGGAAGAGGAGGATGAAGAAGAGGATGAAGAAGATGAAGAAGAAGATAGTGTAAGTCAAATCTGTGAATGATATTAATGTCTGATATTCTTCTTAAGCATGAGTTTTGCACAAATTTAATTTGGTCCTGGGAAATTAGAAAAACTTAGGAAACTTCAAATCATATTAAGATAATTCTAGAACAGTATATGATATAACTTAGACCACTTCATTTGACCATAATTTGGACCAAAATCCAAATATACAGATATCTCCTGAATTTAAATTGTATTTATTGCTTTTGCTTGCAGTAACTGTTGTTGTATTAGATACAATATTTAATTATTTATCAATTGGTTTCCAGGGAAAATCAGTGAGTATAGCATGAATTGAACTATTCAGCTAGCAGATTATCCTTCCCATTGTTTTCCCCACAATGAAAGGAAGACACAAAAAAGTCGTGCATATCCAAATACTCAATGTAAAATTGAGTACCAAACGCACTGATACCTGCATAAAAAAAAGTTATATATGTATCTGAGTTTAGTGTGACGTCCATTTTTGCTGAACTAGTATACATTTATGTTTAGGGGTCAACTGAAGCCTGCCTCTGGGTTCGGGATTTTCTCGCTGTGTTTAAGACCCATTGGTGGCCTTAGACTGTTTTCTGCGCTTTGGTCGGGTTGTTGTCTCTTTGAAACAGTCCCCATTTCCATCAAGGCTTCCAAAACTGTCATATTAGCTGGACAAATATAAATTTATCGGACATTGTCCGACTGGGCCAAGCATTAAACGGACATCTTACATGGGATTGCCATTTCAACATTCATGTTATTAAAAAAAATCAACCATTGTGACTTGACCTTGTGCCTTAAACATCCACACTTTACCGTTTATAAAAGTGACAGTACTCTATAAACAAGCCCAACTTTAATCCCCTCTCATTACAATCAAGGTTAATTAAGTGTCTAACAGCTGAGATTTACCTGTGATCACCTGTGTCAGGTAAACTATTTGTACTGGACATCAATCGTTCTTTTTGGAAGTTATTTTTTTTATTAAAATTAAAAACATTCCTCGTTTAATTCTAACTACTTTATAGCAAACCAGATTTAGACTATCAGAAAAACGTATTTAAAACGATAAGATCATAATTTACAAAGGTGGTAAAAAAGTTTAACAGACAGAACCACATCGATTGAAATATTAGAAGTGTGCGTATGTGCACAAGTGTGATATTTATTATTTAATAATGCGTCCGAATTCATCCAAAATGATAAAAATGTCATTTATACCATTATCTTACGTTCATTTCAAGTATTGTTGTCTAGTAAATATCCGGTATTGGAAAACGTGTTTATCAAATAACTAAGCTGGTCCTCGACTGATTAATACACTTTGTTAGGTCTGTTGATATATGCCAATTCGAACCATGCACTATTAATGAAATTGTTAATGTCAAGAATGAAATTCATATAAAATTGAAAAAGTATGAAGTCTATGAAGTTTATCTTCCTTTAATAGTTTAATGGCTTTATCATATGGTGATGTTCATCTTTTGTTATGGGGTAACCTTTATAATCTAAAGGGATAAAAAACAGGATTGAAAAAAAATGTCCGGGTGGCTCAAATATTTTTTGGATGCCCTGGTTTCCATTCTCAAATTTATTTAATACTTACAGAAAACATTTATACTAAAATTTTTATCTTTAAGAAAAAATAATTTCTTTTCTCTTCTAGAAGATTTGTACACACACAGATTTTAGAATTTGAGTTTAAAACAAGTAGCTTCTAATGTTAAATGTTAAATCTTCTTTTCCACAAGACAAAACAAATGTATATATAGGTTTCCTGCATGATCAACCCTAATTTTGAGCTCTTATGTTTTTATTATACCCCGCTTTAAAAAAGTGGGGGTATACTGTTTTGCCTCTGTCTGTCCATCCGTCAGTCCGTCTGTCCCATGAATATTTTTCATTGCATCTTTCTCAGGAACTACATAACAAGGATTTCTGAAATTTGGTTTCAGGGTTTATATGAGTCGGCTATACCATGTGATGCGTTTTCAGATTCATCACTCAACAACTTCCTGTTTACTTAAGTTTTTTAGCGGGTGGGGGTATCATTAGTGAGCAGTAGCTCACAGATTCACTTGTTAGGATTTCATCACCATAAACTTTTCACCAACATATGAGTTGTTGTAACCACTTATTCATAATATCAAAATATGCAATATTTTAGGGTCTCAAAAAATTTAGACCTTCTGATCCTATAATTCTTTGGCAAGAAACCCTATTTTAAAAAACAAGATACTGCTTTTTGCAACTTCTACTACTTCATTGTAAGATATATGACTACTTCTTTATGTATATATGTTTAATTTACCATTGAAATAGTAGAACGAAAAGTATGAAGATAATCTTCTAGCTGAATGTGTCTATATACAGTGAATTTGCTAGCGCTCGTCATTTTCGTCAATTACGAAACGGTTTTCAAAATGACGAAAGTATTTCAAATCAATTTCGTCACTTAAATTTGGAAAGAGTAAAAATGTTTTCCCATGAAAATACTATAATTCTACCTGTCTTATTGTTTCTGACAAGTTTATGACCCTCAGCTAATTAACATATACAACAGGTGTTATAAGTTGTGATTATCGCCATCGGATGGGTCACTAATCCGTTAATTATTTATCAACCTCATAAATATTTTCCCCAGTAAAATCAGTCAGTCGGCATTTCAATTTCAATATTTATCAAACGAGCACAATTTGCAGTTCATTTGTCGTAGTTTCGTCATTTGAGTTTTCCCTTGGAAAGTTCGCATTTTAATTTCAATATTTCGTCATATTTGATATAACTTTTAATCCAAAACTTTCGACAATTTCGATTAAAAAGATAGAACTTTATTCATAACATTCAGAAATGTTTTCACCATTCAAACAGGTGCTTCCTTTACGATGAACTGGGCATGCGCGAAAGTATTCTTATGAATTTAAAGACACTAAAACGTAGAATACGAAATAATTAAGTATCAAACTAAACGAGAGAGACAAATATAGTTCTTATCTAGCAAATTCAATTTAAAAACTGATAATTTCCTGCCTTTTTTAAACACGAACCAATCTGTAGATGAATCCGGATTCATTCTGAATTTATTATTCACTAGTCACTTCCCGTTTTCATTTCATTTGGAAATCGAAAGTAAACGTGATCTAATTCATGATAAATTTACAATTTAAAGTCATTAGAATTGTTCCAATAAGGATTTGTACAAATCCTTGATTCCAACTTTATAGAATTAATTCTAAATATCGATTTAAAACGTTTTTAAGGATAATGAGTATGAATAATGCAGTGAAATAGTCATTACAAGTTCATTTATGCTGTGATTCCTGGTTTGAAAAAAAATGGATCCCAAATTTTGCTGATTAGGAATGTACCCTGAAACTAACTAATGTGAAATTGTGAACTAGATTTCTAGATCTTATATCCTAATCTTCGTACTAAAGTGCCACATCAGTCAAATCATGCAGGAACTGCCTAGTATGCCTAAGTCCTTCAAAGTCTGACAAAGATGTATAGATAGTAATATACATCCTAGGTCCCTTGCTGCTACCCAAAATAAGGTTGATTTTCATCCCGTGCAAAAGTGACATCCTAGCTTAAACCCTGTCTATATATATATGTAGCTGTTCTAATTTACGGTAGCTAAGAGTTAAGATTCGGTGTCATATTAGTTGTTTATTCCTGCATGGAAACAATTCATCAAATTTTACAGGACATTTTAAAAAATTTTTTATTTGTTTTGGAATTTGTTTTTAAATGGATTTCAGAAATCAAGGATTTTCCTGATAATTTGATTAAACTTAGTTGATTTCAATATTTTGGTTGAATTTGACAGGCATATATGCGCCTGGCTGTTGTTTTTATGATCAAATATCATTATCATTCATAATTGTTCAATGAAGGAAATACCTTAACTAAGCAATTGGTTCCTAAATGCTGTTGAACATCTTTAACCTGATCTTAAAATATTTCAAACAACACAGCTTGTTTTAAAGGTTGCATTTTTACTGAGCTGTATATCATTAATATTGTATTGTAATTTTTAGTTTTTTTCTTTTACTAAGCATTGCTTTTATTAATGAAATATTTAAAATTTCCCTTTTCTGTTATATTTGGTGTCAAGTTTTTAATGTAAATAAATATTATTGTGTTTGTATTTAAGTTTTATGCCAGGCACATAGCTAAAACCATGGTATTTATAAATTTATGACTTTGTTGAATGTTTAGTTTAAAATAATTGTTATACATAACAATTCATGAATTTGTTGCTGTTTTGTTTAATTGTTATGCATAAAAATTCTTGAGTTAATTGAATGTTAAGTTAAATTATGATGTATTATGAATTTATGGTAATTGAATTTGATTGTTTTTTTGTAACATTCATTTCATACATACTTCAAAGTCAACTGTCAAATCTAAATTTCTCGTCATTATCAAATACTATTAGTTAGAAACTTGAAATAGTGACCTTTTCCAACATCCCTACTTCTCAGAATAGACTGAATATTAATAGAAATTAATTTTCATTTGTGCTAAAGTGGGTAAGTACATAATTTCAAGATAGAAACTTGCCATCTGAAGACTTGGTTTCAATTCCCATATTTTCAATATGGACTGCACTCTGACGTCCTTCATCCCAACAAGTCCTAAAAAAGTGCATCAGATGTCAAAGCAATCTTGGACTAGTCAAGCTCAAAATCACATAGAGTGAGTCTAGACAGGTTATGAATAAAAACAGAAAAGGTATATATTTTATATTTTCCAAGCAGAAATCTGAGCATAAAACAAGAACATTTTGAAGAGTTTTAAGTTTTATTAATCATAGTCATTTTTGTTATAGGGACCCAGAGAAGAGGACATTAAGGAGAGAGTAAAGGCATTTTATATAGCCGAGTTATTGAGACGTATCGATAGATCTGGTACATTAGATGTCACAAGTGGAACAATAGTAGGATACCCCTACTATACAAAGGATGATCCTGTGTTAGAATTCAACACAAAGAAAAATGGATATGAATTTGATCCAGATAAACCACTAAAATGGGACCCAGAGCTTGATTGTGAATATTTGAGAGAAGCCCTCAAAGGATGGGGTAGGACTTTTAATATTCAATTAGAATATATAGAGATCCTCCTGGGACTCATTTAGGTTATCAATATGTCATGTTTTTTTCAAACACTTGGAGGGGATTTAATCCCTATACAGAAGTGTATACTTTTTTCATTGTACATTTGTAGACATTCATAAACTGTAAATATACAATTCCCAATCAGCTGCCATCTATTTTTAAGATTTTTTTTTCAAACACCAACACAGCAGACAAAGTGTAATTGTTTCTGTTAATGTATAAAAAAAAACTTGATTTGAAGGTTAATGCTTCTATGCAGATATTTTAAATATATAGTTATAAGGACTAATGAAATTTGTTAGTGGGCATTTGGGAAAAACTCAAAATGCAATTATTTTACTTTTTTCTGATAATAGGAATAGCAGGTCGTCTACTTTCACTTTATAATGGTATTGTTCGTATTGCAAACATTATGAGTTTGCCTCGCATTTATTTTAATGGTAGTTTGGTCAGGTTTCTGTTTTCAAAGATTTATATTATCACAATTATGCAAAGGATTTTCAATTTGTTAGGCAAGCATTTTTAAGTCTCCCAAACGAAGTTTGGGAAGACTTATTGTTTTTGCTCAGTTCTTATTATTATTATTATTCTTCTTCCTCTTCCTCTTCCTTTTCCGCCACTTTTAAATTTGAACTTGTCCGCACCCGTTCTCCAAAACCACTTGTCAGATAAACTTAGGGTTTCACAATATGTTAGACTAACATGTCTAGTGGTGCAATCAGGGTTTTGTTTGTGCAATGGGGTTTATAAAGGGGTACTTTGAGGGGCAAAAAGAAAAGAGGGTTTTACTATAGAACCCTATGGGATTTTATTTTTTTAAATTTTCAAATGATTATAAATTGAAAACCATTTGTAATAGACACAATCTTTTTAATTGAAAATGTTCTAAATGATAAAACCCATTAAATGAAATACAGAGTTAGTCCCCAGGGGTCACCCCCACCCCCTGCCATTTAAGAAAGTTCTAATACCTTGTAAGTGGTCAAGATCCCCACCCCTAAACCATATATATTCTGGTTTGTCATGCTAAGATGGTTTGAATGATATACAGGGTTAGTCCCCAGGGGTCATCCCGACCCCCTGCCATTTGAGAAAGTTCTAATATCTTGTAAATGGTCGAGATCCCCACCCCTAAACCATATATATTCTGGTTTGTCATGCTAAGATGGTTTGAATGATATACAGGGTGAGTCCCCAGGGGTCATCCCGACCCCCTGCCATTTGAGAAAGTTGTAATATCTTGTAAATGGTCGAGATCCCCACCCCTAAACCATATATATTCTGGTTTGTCATGATAAAGTACATGAAATGAAATACAGGGTTAGTCCCCAGGGGTCACCCCCACCCCATGCCATTTAAGAAAGTTCTAATATCTTGTAAGTGGTCAAGATCCCCACCCCTAAACCATATATATTCTGGCTTGTCATGCTAAGATGGTTTGAATGATATACAGGGTTAGTCCCCAGGGGTCATCCCGACCCCCTGCCATTTGAAAAAGTTGTAATATCTTGTAAATGGTCGAGATCCCCACCCCTAAACCATATATATTCTGGTTTGTCATGATAAAGCACATGAAATGAAATACAGGGTTAGTCGCCAGGGGTCACCCCCACCCCATGCCATTTAAGAAAGTTCTAATATCTTGTAAGTGGTAAGATCCCCACCCCTAAACCATATATATTCTGGTTTGTCATGCTAAGATGGTTTGAATGATATACAGGGTTAGTCCCTCGGGGTCATCCCAACCCCCTGCCATTTGAGAAAGTTCTAATATCTTGTAAATGGTCGAGATCCCCACCCCTAAACCATATATATTCTGGTTTGTCATGATAAAGCAAATAAAATGAAATACAGGGTGAGTCCCCAGGGGTCACCCCACCCTATGCCATTTAAGAAAGTTCTAATATCTTGTAAGTGGTCAAGATCCCCACCCCTAAACCATATATATTCTGGTTTGTCATGCTAAGATGGTTTGAATGATATACAGGGTTAGTCCCCAGGGGTCATCCCGACCCCCTGCCATTTGAGAAAGTTGTAATATCTTGTAAATGGTCGAGATCCCCACCCCTAAACCATATATATTCTTGTTTGTCATGATAAAGCAAATCAAATGAAATACAGGGTTAGTCCCCAGGGGTCACCCCCACCCTATGCCATTTAAGAAAGTTCTAATATCTTGTAAGTGGTCAAGATCCCCACCCCTAAACCATATATATTCTGGTTTGTCATGCTAAGATGGTTTGAATGATATACAGGGTTAGTCCCCAGGGATCATCCCGACCCCCTGCCATTTGAGAAAGTTGTAATATCTTGTAAATGGTCGAGATCCCCACCCCTAAACCATATATATTCTGGTTTGTCATGCCAATATGATTTGAATGATATACAGGGTTAGTCCCCAGGCATCACTAATGCATATAACTTTGCTGGACCAAACCAATTTTCACTAGACTTTGCCCAATGTCAGGCGACCCTGGGAATTACGAATTATGGGAGCTTCGTTTGGGAGACTTCGTAACAGCATCCTGTTACAATCATTTCTTGTTCAATTTGTTATGCAAGTGTATTTCAATTTGTTGGTTTACAATTTTCATTTTAATTTGTTGGTCTGCTGTTATCTGGAGCTCTGCACATGTGTATTACAGGTACAAATGAAGATGCCATCATCCATGTTATTACAACCAGATGTAATGCTCAGAGACAAGAACTGAAGAAAGCATTCAAAACATCGTACGGAAGGGTAAGACAGGACATTGTGAAAAGTAATGATTTGTATTCCCTTTTTATACAAATAATATAAATTCAGCTCTATTAAGTGAAAATCTGTCTTGTCAGGTCACCCTGTTTTTGTCCGGAAGTAGAAATACCTATGCATTTTGAACCTCAGTTCAAAGGTCACCTCAAGCTCTCTTATACAGTCAATTTTCTCTGGCCTGGAGGTTGAGCTTTATTTACAGGTTTTACTGCATTCAAATGGTTTATTAACAAACCAGATAATACATATGCCTGAAATAATTTCAGAGGAGAAGTTATGAAAAAAAATATATCTTCTCTTTCATTGTTTGTTCTTTATAAATGAATAGGCAGATAGATGCAGATTGAAATTATGCATTTTGAAATTGTCATATTTTTCCTAAAATATCATTATTACACAGTTTTTGTAAAATTAGATTTGAGTCACAGCAAGAGTCTAATATAGTTGTAAAAACATTTAACGGAGACTTCAAAGATATGCCATCAACAGATATGATCAATGAAACACTTTATAAATTTTGTGTGGCAGAAGTGTTTTCTGGATTTACCTTCAGGAACACTGAAACCCAAACATCTGAAAGCTAGGGATGTATAAATACATAGAAATGGACCATGAAAAGAATAGCCAAATTCATCAGAGGTCAATTTTGCCTAGTTGAGTTGAAATCTAAGTTTCTTTATAATTATACCCACGCTTTAAAAAAGTGGGGGTATACTGTTTTATTATACCCCCGCTTTAAAAAAGTGGGGGTATACTGTTTTACCTCTGTCTGTCCGTCCATCCATCCGTCAGTCTGTCAGTCAGTCCATCCGTCCCATGAAAATTTGTCGTTGCATTTTTCTCAGGAACTACAATACAAGGATTTCTGAAATTTGGTTTCAGGGTTTTTATAAGTCAGCTATACCGTGTGATGCGTTTTCAGATTCATCACTCAACAACTTCATGTTTACAGAACATTTGTATCATTTTACACATGATAGCCAAGTTGAAAATTTTCGGCACGGTTTTCTCAGGAACTACAATACAAGGATTTCTGAAATTTGGTTTCAGGGTTTATATAAGACGGCTATACCGTGTGATGGGTTTTCAGATTCATCACTCAACAACTTCCTGTTTACCGAAATACTTGTTTATTTAAGAAATGAATGCTTCTTTTTATTAAAGCATTGACCGAAGCACCTTTTGTATGAAGAGCGGAAGTGCTTCATACTAAAAATGTGCACCTCGATCAACACTTTTACAGCCTTATAAAATTATAAAAAAGCATTCAATTCTTATAATTAATTGTTATTGTTTTGCTATATGCACTCTTTTCACAGTCAGGGATAGCATGTGCAGTCATAGCTGAAATAGCTGAAATGAAATATAATATTGAAGTGTCTCACTATTGTTGTCAAATCAAAATTATGGATTCTAATGAATCATACATGTAATGTAATTATTGATTTATTAAAGAGGAATTTAAGAAAATTCTTAATAGTACAAAAAGAACATTTCCTTTGTGTCTTGAACCAGTATTTTTGTCAGATAAGCAGCTTTTCATTATGTTTTATATTTTTATAGGATTTGATCAAAGATTTGAAAGGAGATCTATCATTTAACTTTGAGACAGCAGTGTTAGCCTTATTTGTTCCACCTGCAGAGTATGATGCTTGGGCCATTAAGGAAGCTATTTATGTAAGGTTCTGCTTTATTCATATTGTGTGAGATAGGAGTCAAAGTCAATACACTTGATTTTTGCATACATTGGTAACGTTTTGATAAATGCATAGACAAAAATTTCTGGTTGGCATTGTATTAAAGATGTATCAGGGCTTTTCCAGATATGTTTAATTGGTCAAATATTATGAAATGAAAATTAATTTGTACCACCTGCAGACAATAAACCATAAAGTATGTAGAATGGAAGCAGCATATTTTTTAATGAAACATACACATTTGACATTTGAAATTCAATTGCAATTTTGATTTAAAAGCAAAGTCATCATTCAAAGAATAACAGACAATGACTAGAACAAGAAAAAAATACCCCTCCCACCCAAATAAATAGAAAATAAATTAGGATGTGTCGGAAGCTAAAATTGAGCAGCCAAAAACTCACAATGATCTCAGGTGCTTTAGAATGATAAGCAGTTCCTGTTCCACTGTTTTTTGTGACACCCACTTTGTTACTCGTAGTTTCTTTCTGTGAATATGTGCAATTTTTTTTATATTTTGACAGGGTCCAGGTACAGATGAAAGAGCTTTGATGGAAATACTTCTTACTAGAACCAACCCACAGATACAGGCAATCAGAGATTGTTATAATAATGGTAGAATACTTTAAAAAATGTTAAGAATAAAAAATAACAAATCTTATTAACTTCAATCTAATTAAAATTAATTCTCCGCACTCGCAAGGAGCGACCAAGCATAAAAAAGTTACCTAGTACGGGATTTAATTTTGATCAGATTCAATTAGCTAAAAGTATTTTTCAAATTTATTATTGTTTGTATAAATTGTCTGCCTCAATGCCCTATCTATGATAATAGAGGGGCATTATGTTTTCTGGTCTGCGTCAGTCCTTTATCTGTTCGTCCATCCCTAGTCAGGTCATTATTTGGTTGACGGTATATTACCATGAAGTTGTAATCAAATCAACTTGAAACTTGGTACATTTGTTCATTATGACAGGATCTTTTTAAAATATATCCAAAATTAGGATTTTTACTCAAATTTTGTAGTTCAATGAACATTGAAATGTGATAGTTTTTAAGGAGCATGGCATGTTGACCTATGGTCACATTTTCTTGTTTAGAAGATGACTAAAAATTTAATGTTTGGAGCAAGAATTTGTGTAAACTTCAACATTTCCCTTGCAAGTGAGAGATAAAAAAATTCCATAATTTTATTCAGTTAAGAAATTATTTTATGTTTATCCATTGAGCTTGTGTAGGTGTTTATAGAATCTCATACAGTCGAACCTCGTTGTGTCGAACTCGGTTGGGTCAAAAACTTGGATGAGTCGAAGTGATTTTCTGGTCCCGGTAAAATTCCTGTTTGATCAATGCATAATCACCTTGGTTGATTCGAATACTTGGTTAAGTCGAGTAAATGTTATAGTCAAGTCTATGTAAAATTAATGTAAATTAACCCCGATGTCTAGAAGTTTGGAAGTAAGAATTTTCGAAAGATGTAACCCTAATGATAAAAATTCAAATAGGATGTATTCCTTGTGTAACCTAATCATTTTCAAAAGAGATTAAAGCTGAGTAAATATACTTGTTTGTATAACATTTAAAATGACATGTTTATGGTGACCAGTAATTAACATCTTTATTGATCGTCCAAGCGGAACGTTCATGTTTTGAACACATTTCACCTGACATAATAACGAAACAAATTTAATTGACCCAAGCCGAGATTAAATGAATCGTTAGAATTAAATTCATTAATTACAATAGGATTAAGACTATTATGATAAATTCATTATAATTTAATGTAAAGCAGAGGACCTCACCAGAGACCATTCAGAACTTGTTTCGTTCTGCGAATGATTTCATAATTTATAGTGACCAACCTTTGTAAATATAAATGTATAATATTGATTTTATTTGTGAAGATTTGTATCTGTACTTGTGTGTTTAATTATTATGAAGGACCCAAAAATATGGAGATGAATACAAAATCATAAAATGTCATATTGAAAAAAAAGGCACACTGTTCAAGGTATCTAGTTTACACAAATTTCATGCATTCCAAATTTATGACGACACACTCGACCTCGGATGAGTTGAACCTTGGATAATTCGAATACTTTGGTCTGTTCCCTTCGACTTTCGACATAACGATGTTCGACTGTATATTTAAAATATTTTATATATCATACGTCTCTGAATACTGAAATATTTCATATCCAAAAGGATAGTTTATTAGTATCAAATTCAGAGCTTTTCCAAAAGAAATAATCTATGGTGCCATTAAAGGATACATCATCAGAATGTTTGCTTGCATTTTATATGACTTTTTATGCACATAGACCTTGGTGAGCAACACAGGCTCTTTAGAGCCTCTAGTTACTATATACTGTGTTTGTTATTTTATAGTTGCCAGTCCAAATTCCAAAAAAAAAGAAGGTCTGATTGATAAAGATATTGAAGATGACTGCAGTGGGGACTTCAAAAGACTTCTGGTTTCTGCTGCTCAGGTAAGAAAACAGTTCTGGTGTCTGCTGTTTAAGTACCGTAGAAAGGCTTGTATAGTTCGCACTGGTACATAGTCCGCACCCCCTTCTCCCCACGAAATTTTAGGTAAAAAAACTTTTTGTAACTGTTAGAAAAGGTCTAATGAAACTCCGGTAATTTCAAATCCTATGGGGTCGTTTGCGGTTTTTTCTTGGAAAAACCTGTTTTCCATCATCAAACAGAAGCTGAAACTGCTTGTAAATGATTCTAGAACGCTTCATGATTGTTAAAATAAGTTTAATTCACTTAAAAAACAATTTCGAAACTTGCGTATGTTTAAACAGGAAGTTTAAAAAGCACGTGTAAAAGAAGAAATTAACCGGTGAGAGTCGAAATCCGTACATAACAGATATCACTATAATACGACTTTGAAAGTAAAACAGTTCCATTCTTTTGTAAAACAGTCTTTAATATATCTATCACATTAATGTTTGAAGGGTCTTAAGCTAATACAAACCATATTTGTCAGTATGAAACACCAAAACGGAACGAACAATAACCGATTACGTTTTGTAGTTTACAAATTCTAAGCTGGTTTACGGTTGTCTTTTTGACTATGTTTGTATAGTTTCAATCAAGCAGATACCAGTTTATTTCAACCAATGCATTGAAAAGAAACGAGAAATTTGTAATGAAAGGTTTAGTTTTTATATTTATCAGTATTAATTTGATATTGAATAGAAATAACTTATTAATATGGATGAGTTAAAATTATTAGTTTGAAAAATGATGAGCGCCCTCTACAATATAAATAACAAAGATGGCGGAACGTAAACAAACCACCTCGCCCGCGAAATTGAAATTTTTCTCTTATTTCTTGCTTATTGTACGTTATAGTCCGCACCCCGTCTGGAAGGTCCAATTTTGGAGAATAAAACCGCGGACTATACATATACAAGCCTTTCTACGGTAAGGAAAACTTCTTTTGTCTGATACTCAGGTATTAAGAACATAAGACTTCTGGTGTCTTTTGTTCAGGTAAGGAAACATTTTTCTTGCCTCTTCTGCTTATGTGAGATATATATGCTAATGCCATCATAAAAACTCCTCTATTGCCTCAGAATTACTGTCCTAAATTATCAACTGTACATTTTCATTTACAATTTCGTCAGCTTACCATACTAATCGATCCAAACATGTGTTCATGTACCTGTCCCAGAACAGAAACCTAGTCACTGGTTGTCTTTAATAGCAAAACTTTAATAATTTTTATAGCAAAAATTATCAGCAAGACGAGAACTACAAATCAGTCTAATGGCTGAAATCGTCAATTGAATCCTTATTAGAGTTATAGCTCATAAATGACTATTTTTACCAATTTTAGTGTTTTTTCCTATTATCTTGAAAACTATAAAAGCTAGATAGACACTTTAATAACAAAAAAATATCAGCAAGACATGATCTACAATAGGTCAACATGGCAGAAATCTTCAGTCTATGACTCCTTATTGAAGTTCTCTACCTTTAATAACGATTTTTACCAATTTTTTAAGTTAATTACTATTATAGTGAAAACTATAAAAGACAGATGTGTTATGTGGTAGTGAGGGGTATTATTTTGCAAGCTTTGGTAGCAGTACTTATAATTTTGCATTGAATAATTTGTTTATTGTTAGACTCTTCCAATCAGTCATATAGTTCAGTAAATGCCTGGATGAGCACCAATTGACAACACTACCTGACAAAGAATCTAATTGGCAAAGAAAACTGAAAATGCTTTTTCTCATCTAGAAAATTTATGATAAAAATAAGATGTTTACTTATCCAAAGGCAGGTGAAAAAAGCAGTATTAATTTAGGCATATCCTACTATAAAAAATATCTAATTTATTTGTTAATGCCATTGTAGGGTAACAGATCTCACATTTCAGAAGAGAAACTAAAGAATGCAGTAGAAGAACTGATGTCAGATGGCAATCCAACAGGAATGTTTGAGGTCAATTTTGATAAGTTGTGTGATATCAATAGAGCCAAGGCTGATGCTAAAAATCTCTTCAAAGCAGGAGAAGACAAATGGGGAACTGATGAAGAAACTTTTGTTCGAATCTTTGCCTGTAGAGATTATTACCAGCTTAGGGCTACATACAATGAATATGTGAAGGTATTTATGTCATACATACATATTGACTTCATGTGTTGGGGCAGAAACCTTAAGAGTTTTATTTTGTCTTCTGTCTATCTAAAATGTGCCAGTTTCCAACTCCAGCTCAAATTTTCAGGTAGATGTCTTCTTTTTGTTTGGAAAATAATAAGTTCTGATTGACTCAAACTGAAAAAAATTAATTAATAGTTGGTTACTTTTCAAACTTCAAGTTAGGAGTAGAATTTCTCCACATAGGACTTGCCAATGGAAAATAAAAAAAAAAGTAAATAAAGCACACATTTGTAAAGCAATATTTTACAGAAAGAACTTTATTATGAATTTGATTATAACAATTCAGGGTGTCCAGTTTTGGAATAAGTATTGAGAGTGAGTACTCCACACTCTTCTGTTCTATTATTTACTGACTGACCTATACGGTAAAGGTTTTGCTGACTATTAGGGCATTATATAGTCTTATTGACAATGACAATCATACCACATCTCTAAGTTTTCATTTATATTGTATTACAATGTTAGAATGGTCACTTTGCCATTTATGTATGACCTGGAGGTTTCTATATATTTTTTAAGTACCTTTGACAAAACCTTTTGAGTTGAAATATTCAGCTGTCATTTTCTGTCTTACCTTCTATTGTTTTTTGTTTTTTACCTTAAATATTTAGTTGTAGTATGTACCATTATCATTGGTATCAGCATTCCCAACATTTAGATGCAGTCTACAGTATAAACTATTTTAACATCAATAACTTTGTCAAACGTTGGGAAATTTGAAAAAAATTGGACAGATTCTTCTTCGTGGTCAAAAGATAGTATCCAGAACAAAATTTTGAAAATAATATTTTCATTTTCTACATTTCATTGATAAATGGACTTACTTTTTTTGAAGTTAAAGTTTACATACAATCTGGGTTTAATCTATTTTAAACATCAAGAGATTTATCCTTCATGGAAAGTTACAAAACTTGAACTGAAGCTTCTTCACAATCAAAACCGAGCAAAATTTTGAAATAATTTATTTTTTATTTTCCTTACTTTACTAAAAAATGGACTTTGTTATTGGCAGTCAACATTGCACTATTACACTGACAGCAGAAATTTGAGCCCTTACAAATGAATGAATCTACAGTATTTGATGTTAAACTGCCTGTAATTAATCCATATTTTCTTGCAAACTGGTCAGTTTAGTTAAATTTACTTTTATATCAATACCATTATATTTCAGATCACTCAAAGAGATATTGAAAATTCTGTTAGCCGTGAAACATCAGGGGACTTTGAAAGAGGACTTCTATCTATTGGTATGATCTATTTAATTTTATATATATATATATATGATTAATAAAAGAATTTGTGTCATATATATAATTCATATAATTTATATATAATATATATTGAATTCACAATAAAAACTACAGGTCATCTTAGAAAACTGTTAACTAATTGTAAGCTTTAAGTGACTCCTGACTAGCAAAAAACTAATTAATTCAAAAGGCATGACTAAATGCTTGATTTCAGTAAATACCATGGAACAAAAATCAGTAATGGTAGACAGCAACCAACCACAACTATTAGGACAACAGGCTCCTGGCTTAGGACAAACCCCTAAATTGGAACAGTGGTGTAACAGTACAATATTAGAACAAACTGAAAAAATCAATATTAATTGGCTTGACTCATGAGATCTGCAATAATAAAAAATGACTGACATAAACAAAATAACAAAACATACAAAGTACAGATCTAAGAGTACCTGCAGTTACTGAAAGCAGGTTCAAAGACCAATTCCAGCTAATAAATTAACCATGTTTTCCTAGATTAACTAAATCAGCACACTCAAGTATTTAATGTTAACACATCATAAGTAGTTTCGAGAAAAGCATGACCTTAATGAATATAATTATATTATGTCAATATAACATTGGTGTCAACCATATGGTTGATTGGAATGAATACTCTCATCTTCATGTCTTTTGATCCTTGATGGACAGTTGTCTTTGTCAGCATTCATACAACATTCTCCTCAATTTTATCGATATAAATGAATGATGTCAAAAAATAAATTATGTTGAGATAATGGATCTGCACAATGGAGAAACTGAATATTTAGATGACACAAAATGGGTTTTAAGCTTACATATACCATTTTTCAAAATTAAAGGTTGCTTGTATGTTATTGTTCGTTTCAAAAAGTTATTTTTCTTTATCTTTAAACAAGCAAAAAAGTCTAAATTGACCCCTTTGGAACAGCTGATTTTTAGACTTATTCAGTTGTAAAGAATATTCATTGATTAAAGTTATAAAACACCAGGCTTATTTTCCACAACAGATGGGTATTTCATCCACTAGAAATAGCAATCGCTAGTGTGTTTGAAAAAAACAGTTAAAAGGCCAAATCAATAATAAAGCTGAAACAGGTTTTGAATTAATGCAATGAGTCTAATTTAGACTGGTTTAATTGTTCCTGTTGAATATATTGTTCATCTTTTATTGTCTAATTTCAGTGAAAAATATTAAGTGTCGTCCAAGGTTCTTTGCAGATGAATTAACATCTTCAATGAAAGGTCTAGGAACCAAGGACAATCGTCTGATCAGAATTATTGTATCCAGAAGTGAGGTAAGTTCTTTTGTAAAAATTGTTTAGATTTCTTCTATGAAACCAATAGGTACTAATCTTAGATACAATGATCTTGGGGCATCAAGTTTCAAAATTGCAGCGAAAGATTTACCACATTTCAGCCATTATGGTCATTGATCAGAAGAATGAAATATATATATAGATAAAATGCTAAAATGATAATTTCCTTTGCAAATTTAGACATCAATTCAAAATGGCTGACACCATCAAACATGCTTATACAGGACTGTTTTTTGGACAATACATTTAAAAAATCTTCTGAAATGAAGTAAAATATTAGACCACAGTCACTTTTAAGGTGTCTTTTTTCGAAATACTATCACATTTTCTCTGATCAAATCATAAAACTGTCAATTTAATAAAAAGGAGAAAGACATACTGTAGATGTATATTATATTTATGGGTTATCAATTTCCATTGAGTTTGTAGATATAAAAACCGTGAATTTAAATGTTCAATGAAGTACAAATTAGTTATAGGCCTGTTTGAAGACTCGCAGAACCACGCAATCAAGTATCCATGAAAATTAGTTCCCACAAAAATAAATGAATCCACAGTATAACAATAAACAATTACTACTTCTCAATGGCTTCAGAATTTATATGACCAAATGTAGGAATAATTCCCTTTCAGAATGAATTCCAAAATGGAGATAATATAACTTTCAAAGAAAGTGTTTTTTTTTTATGCCCCCCTCCCCACATTTACTGTTCTAGAGTTATGCCCTTTAATTAATGGAAAAATTGCTGAATTTTTCATTTCCATTCTCTAACTTAAGTTTGCCTCAACCAAGTGTTATACACAATGCTTATTACCACAAAACTCAGGTCAAGTTTGAATTTGGGTGGCATCACTTTTACCATTCTTGAGTTATATCCCTTTATAACGTTACATGCATGCAGGGGCATCACCTGTGTCCCATGGACAAATTCTCCATTTATTTCTATATTCTCAGGAATATGATCCTTACCTTCAACAAACATGATCAACATTATGATAAATAGTAAAATTTGGAAAAAGATGATGCTACATAAATGCATTGCTAGCAATGCAGTCTACACTTTTGGTTACATTTTTCTAGTGCCAAGAGTTTCTGAGATCTGTTAATATAAATAAGTTTGCAATAGACAATAGATTACAATGACCACTTTTACTGAGGTAGTTTATTCTTATGATTTTTGTCGAGCCTTCGACTTTTGTTGAAAAAGCGAGACATAGGGATCCTACATTCCGTTGGCGGCGGCGGCGTCCACAAATATTCACTCTGTGGTTAAAGTTTTTGAAATTTTAATAACTTTCTTAAACTGTCCTGGATTTCTACCAAACTTGGACAGAAGCTTGTTTATGATCATAAGATAATATTCAAAAGTAAATTTTGTAAAAAAAAAATTCCATTTTTTCCGTATTTTACTTATAAATGGACTTAGTTTTTCTGCCAGTTAACATTACATTCACTCTGTGGTTAAAGTTTTTGAAATCTTAATAACTTTCTTAAACTATCCTGGATTTCTACCAAACTTGGAAAGAAGCTTGTTTATGATCAGAAGATAGTATCCAGAATTAAATTTTGTAAAAAAAAAATCCATTTTTTCCGTATTTTACTTATAAATGGACTTAGTTTTTCTGCCAGTTGACATTACATTCACTCTGTGGTTAAAGTTTTTAACATTTTAACAACTTTCTTAAGCTATCTTGGATTTGTACCAAACTTGGACAGAAGCTTGTTTATGATTAAAAGCTAGTATCTAGAAGGAAATTTTGTTAAAATTTTGTACCATTTTTTCCGTATTTTACTTATAAATGGACTTAGTTTTTCTTCCAGTTAACATTACATACAGTCTGCAGTTTAAGTTTTTAAAACATTTATTAGATTCATAAACTATCCTGGATTTTTACCAAACTTGGACAGAAGCTACTTACAATCAAAAGATAGTATAGAGAGGAATTTTTTTATTAATTTTTTTCCTCATTTTTGTTGAGCCTGCGATTAACAGCAAAAGTAGGCGAGACACTGGGTTCCGCGGAACCCTTACGAATTTTTGTACAGAGTAAGTTTATTTGAAAAGTAATTTTTCATGTAAATAACAAGTATTGAATCCTATTATTATCATTTATATAAATAATATCTTTTCAGATTGATATGGTTCAGATCAAAAAGCATTTCTTGGAAAATAACAAGCAGACTTTATGGAAATGGTTGAAGGATGACTGCTCTGGTGACTACAAAAAATTACTGCAGGCTATTGTTGGCAAAGATTAACACTAAATATTAGTAGTTTGATAGACATATTATGTTGTGTTCTTTATTGTTTTCTTGGCAATTATCCAACAATATATCTTCTCTTTTGCATATAACATTTTTTTTTTATTGAATTTGATTTCCTGATAAATAATTTTTAAAATCTATATATTTTTAAGGCAGTGAATTTTTAAAACCAGCCTACTAGAGTCTAAGTTCTAACAAGTTTTGCTTGGCATAAATACAGCATATTCATTTTTTTTTTGTATAGTAGACTTAGGATACTTTCATTTATATTGCAGATACGCATAGATTCATATGTCAGTGTCTTATTGAATAAAATCTAGCATACAAAATTAGTTCAGTCACATTGTACAATGATATCTGTGCAATAAAATGGAAAAGATTATTTCTCTGTTATATTTGCTTTTTTATTTGATATTCCGTCCATGTTGTTATCTTTAAACATTCCCTCCATGCATCTATAATAAAAAAAAAGAGACAATAAATCTACGGATACACAGTATACTTTCTGTATTTATACATATGATTGTACATTCCGTCCATGTGTACTATAATTTTATTGCATTTAATTGATTTATCTCCCTTTAACATATATAATTCTCACCTTTTTATTATACCTCTATGGAATATTGTACTTCCTGTTTCTCATATTATAGGTTCTTTATTTAGATACGTTAATGTGATATGTTTAACTGTGATACTTTTTTGTGATATAAATAGTAGCATTATTTTTTTTAACTTTATTTTACTAACACTCTCATTTCATGTTGTGTTGTATCTGATCGATGTAGGTCTATGATGAATCAAATTAAAAAAGAAGAATAACATTTTATATAAAGTTTCACCTCACGTTTACTAGCAATAGTTTGATAACAAAATGTGTTAATAATTTACAAAATATATCAATTGTTAAAATGAATCTTTATATTAAAGGTCTAAGTTAGCTTCTTATGCAGGTGGACAATTTTCATTTCAGCAAAATATGTGATTGCTAAGAAAATTAATTACTGTTTGGTTCATGATTTAGATTGTGGGTTGATCTTGTTAAACTTTTGATTTAACTTGAGGAATCTTTGCCTTTTAAATTAATTCAATACACTCGCTACATTTTCGATACTTAAAATCTTTGTAAATACTTTGAATGACGAATTTGTAATATTGCATTTGAAGAAGGGTACATTAATTCATTTTAAAACTGATTGTTCTTTACAATTAATACTTGATTTATAAATGAGAGTTGAAAATTATTTTACATTTGACATATTAAAATAGATCTACACATTGTTTTAGTTGTTTGTATATTCATTGCTGGAACGACAAAAAGTGTGTCAATATAAAAATAAAATGCTCCGCTGGGCGCAGCTTGATACGACCACAGAGGTTGAACCCTGAACAGTTGGGGCAAGTATGGACACAACATTCAAGCTTGATACAGCACTGAATTTGGCCCCTTATTCCTAATATTTTGAGGCAATTACCCCCAAAATCAATCCCAGCATTCCCTGTGTGATATGGAACCTTATGATACAATGTCAGAGAGATCCTTACACTAACACACAAGTTATGTCTGGAAGTTACATAAATGCTTATTTTTGGCCCCTTTTTTGGACCCTAATTCCTTAACTGTTGGTACCATAACCTTCCTTTTGTGGTATTGAACCTTATGGTAAAATTTCATAGAGATCCGTTCACTTTAACTAAAGATAGAGTGCGAAAACCAATGTGTCTTCGGACGAGGACGCCAACGTCATACCAATATACGACCGCAAAAATGTAATGACTTCAACAATGAGCAAAATCAATACACACAGCAATCTATAAAAGGCCCTGAAATGACAAATGTCAGGACTTATTTGAAAACCCAAATAATTTTGAACAATATGACCAATAATTGAAAAGAGGTAATAATAGAATTTTAAATATTTTTTGTACTTTGTGTATGTCATTATAGTAAAGGTTCTCTCCCAAAATTCTACCATTTGTAATAAATAACAAAACCAATCTCACAAGACCCTCTGGTGAAACGATTGGGCACATATTTGCACCAGTCATGGATTAGTTGGATATCAAAGCTAAACACAGTTTTTACTGCATTCAATGTAGGAGGAAATTATGCTGTACAATGTATAACCAGAAAGGCTTTGGACCTTGCAAAAATTGCAAAGACCCAGTAAGATCATCTTTGTTTGAATTTTTTCAATCCTAGTTTTTTGTTGAGCCTGTGACTTTTGTCGCAGAAAGCTCAACATAGGGATAGTGATCCGGCGGCTGCATTAGCTAACTTAATAAAAGCTTTATATTATAGAAGGTGGAAGACCTGGATGCTTCATACTTTGTATATGGCTGCCTCATGTTACGAAGTTTCCGTCATTCACATGTCCAATGTCCTTGACCTCATTTTCATGGTTCAGTGACTACTTGAAGAAAAAGTTAACATTTTTTGTAATGTTAAATTTCCTCTTATTGTCGAGCCTTCGACTTTAGTCGAAAAAGCCAGACATAGCGATCCTACATTCCGTGGGCGTCGTCGTCGGCGGCGGCGTCGTCGGCGGCGTCCACAAATATTCACTCTGTGGTTAAAGTTTTTGAAATTTTAATAACTTTCTTAAACTATCCTGGATTTCTACCAAACTTGGACTGAAGCTTGTTTATGATCATAAGATAATATTCAGAAGTAAATTTTGTAAAAATGAAATTCCATTTTTTCCGTATTTTACTTATAAATGGACTTAGTTTTTCTGCCGGGAAATATTACATTCACTCTGTGGTTAAAGTTTTTAAAATTTTAATAACTTTCTTAAACTATCCTGGGTTTGTACCAAACTTGGACAGAAGCTTGTTTATGATCATAAGATAGTATCTAGAAGGAAATTTTGTAAAAAAATAAATCCATTTTTTCCTTATTTTACTTTTAAATGGACTTAGATTTTCTGCCAGGAAACAACACATTCACTCTGTGGTTAAAGTTTTTAAAATTTTAATAACTTTCTTATGCTATTTTGGATTTGTACCAAACTTGGACAGAAGCTTGTTTATGATCAAAAGCTAGTATCTAGAAGGAAATTTTGTAAAAAAATAAATCCATTTTTTCCGTATTTTACTTTTAAATGGACTTAAATTTTCTGCCAGGAAACAACATATTTACTCTGTGGTTAAAGTTTTTAAAATTTTAATAACTTTCTTATACTATTTTGGATTTGTACCAAACTTGGACAGAAGCTTGTTTATGATCAAATGCTAGTATCTATAAGGAAATTTTGTTTTCTTCCAGTTAACATTACATTCAGTCTGCAGTTAAAGTTTTTAAACATTTATTAGATTCATAAACTATCCTGGAATTTTACCAAACTTGGACAGAAGCTTCTTACAATCAAAAGATAGTATCAAGAGGAATATTTTTATTGATTTACTTCCTCATTTTTGTTGAGCCAGCGATTAACAGAAAAAGTAGACGAGACACTGGGTTCCGCGGAACCCTTACGAATTTTTATAAGTAGTATGATAACTATATTTGGTATGTGCGTACCTTGCAAGGTCCTCATGCCCGTCAGACAGTTTTCAGTCCATATCTCAGATACTATTAGCAATAGGTCAAGTATATTCGGTGTATGGAAGGACTGTAAGGTGAACATGTCCAACTGGCAGGAGTCATCTGACCTTGACCTCATTTTCATGGTTCAGTGGTTAAAGTTAAGATTTTGAGTTTTGGTATGTTTTTCTTATACTGTATGCAATATGTCTACTATATTTTGTGTATGGAATGATTGTAAGGTGTACATGTCTAGCTGGCAGGTGTCATTTGACCTTGACCTCATTTTCATGGTTCAGTGGTTAAAGTTAAGATTTTGAGTTTTGGTCTTTTTTTCTAATACTATATGCAATAGGTCAACTTAATTGGTGTATGGTAATATTTTATGATCTATATGTCAGTCACGCAGGTTTTATTTGACCTTGACCTCATTTTCACAGTTCATTGCTCAGTGTTGAGTTTTTGTGTTTTGGTCTGTTTTTCTTAAACTATAAGCAATAGGTCAACTATATTTGTTGTATGGAAGAATTGTTATGCCTGCCTGGCATGGTTCATCTGACTTTGACCTCATTTTCATGGTTCATTGGTCAATATTTAGTTTTCTTGGTTAATGTTAAGTATATGTGACAGTTGTAATAAAGCTTTATATTTAGGACTATCAATATAATATCAGTGTTTAGTAAAGAAGGCGAGACATTTTAGCGTGTGCACTCTTGTGTAAAAAAAGTTTATCGGTGGTATGGTTATGGAATTTATTTTCATCAAAATAAGCACTTGTAAAGTGGTCCAATTTTAAATGATAAGAAATCCATGGAAATTTATACTTTGGCTTGTACCTCTGAAAAACAAGGGCTTTGAATGTTTTCACAAGTTTGAATTTGAATAGAAAGGAATGGGGAATGAATTTCTTGAAACAAAAATCCTATGAACTAGGTGATAACAAAGGTTTAAAGTTTAAAAAACTGTTATTTCTATTCTATATCTAATCTAATAGCTTTCTAAAAGTTTTGTCACTAGTAGTTAAAATAAAAGAAAATATAAAAAAGAAATGCCAATCAGCCAGCATCAAATTACATAACTGAACCAAGTTCATTGTTTCCAGTAACTCTGGTTTAATGATGTTCTCTTGAAAGTGATAAAATGTAATATGAGAATGTGTAAACACCACTCGGATTCATACAAAACATTCTACAAAACAGATTATCAAGAGTTTTTGTTTTTTATTGATAAATATTTGCTAAGTTTGGAGGACTTAACGACTAGTTCCTTTATTCTTATGAAGAAGGGTCCTTTCAGGAGTCTCTCAGAAAGAATTAAAAGAAACTAGCATAATCCTATTAGTATTCGTTCTGTTATAAAGATGATGTCCTGTCACTACATTATTCAAAGTTCGGTTACTATGTTGAACGCATCGACCCCCATTTTCCATCCCATGAAATTTGAAATAAAGAATACCAAATATTCAGTTGAGTATTGACTTATTTATATTGACTTACATCTAGAAATTGACAATGAAGGTCAGTTGCATTGAGAACAAATGTTCCATTTCTATGTAGCAACATCCCAGTAGCGCCTACATATGGTGTGTATATCTCCCCGCTAAAACAAGATTCAAAAGCTTGTTTTTCTTATCATGCTACATTTACTTACAGGTAAGTTTTTGAACTATGGTTTCCAAATTAGAAAGTCATCCCTTCGAAAATTTTACTAACCGTCATGGAATATCTGTGTCTCAAATGACACGAATATGTTCCAATTGTAGTAACTATCATCCCGTCCTCTTTTACTTGACTGAGAAATCACCCATTTTGTATCTAAGACAGACTAAGCATCAATCAACTTTCTACTAGATGTCCACCAGTGACCTTAATTTACAACACCAGTTATGCCTAATTTTTAAAGTTTTAATGTGCGACTAATGTTCTTACAATATGGGATTTAATCATTTGACTGATTTTTCAGATAAGAAAATCTTTATAAACTTCATGGAGTAAACGTCAATTACACAGCAACCAAAAGACAAAAAAAAAAAAGAAAAAAAAGAAACAAAATTTTTTTTTCAGAAGTCAGTTATTCTATGTTGACATGAATTATTCGAAATACTAAGTATTTTGTACCCCAGGAATAGATTACTTTAGCTCTATTTTGCAAAACCATTGATAATTTTTGGTACACAGTGCTCTTCAATTATAAGCCTGATATCTTTGATCAGTTTTTTAGCCACCAATGGGTCGATGCCACTGCCTTTGGAGGTTTTCTAATCCAGGGTATTACCAGCCAAGTATAGTCATCACTTCTATGTTGACGTTGACGTAGGTAATCATTGATATGAACATATTTATAAATTAACTGTTTACAAGACTTCAAATTGTTCGACATAATTAGGTTGTTTTACCACAGGAATAGATTATTTTAAACTGTATTTGTCAAAATCTTTCGGAACATTGGGTTCTCAAAGCTCTTCAAATTTTTGCTTTATTTGGCCTTTACTTTATTTTTGTTCGAGCGCCAATGTTAAGACTTTTGTAGACGAAACGCGGGTTTGGCGAACATAATTATAAGCCTGGTATCTTTGATGAGTTTTTTTTATTATAGTTCAAAATACAATTGCAATCTTCAATAACAGGAGTTCATTTTTTTTTAATTTTTGGTTGACGATACTAGTACATAGAAATAATCTGTTACAATATGTAACAAAAAAATAAATTTGATATAAATATGCCACCAGCAAATAGTATATTCGTATATACATAGAATTAAGGGATTGCGACAAAAAAGTCCGGTTTTTGCTATATTTTTTTTTTGCTTTTTATTCGTGTCTATATAATTTGCAAATATAGACTTATACAAAATATCATACACATGGAGTGAAGTTTGATACATTCGTGATATGCGGTTCTTAGATTATCAAATTCTGTTCTGATAAATATTATGTTTGCATCATTTGAATAACTACGATTCCAACACCATCAAGCTGTGTAGATTGATTTGGCTATTCATTATCGAACTTGTTTTGTAATATTATAACTCCTGACTTGTTAAATTATTTATCCTCACTATTATTTTAGCGTTCCTGATGAATGCAAATCCAGAAAAGCGATTCGGAACCACGAAATTTATTTAGTTTTATTTTCATTTTAAGGGAATCATAATGGTTTTTAATTTCTATTCTTGATATTATGCAGTCAATATTATTGAAAAAGGGAAAAGGAAAAGTAAACCTTAGATACCTTTGACACATGAGAAGATTTTCATGTATATTGTTTTATATTGTTTCCTCGTATGAAGTCGATTATATTTTGGTATGTAAGCTAATACATCAAAATCGTGAATAAATGTCTCTGGTTTTTACAAGGAAGACATAACCGAAACGATAAACGACTTCGGTATTTAACGTGTTTTGTTCTTAAGGTGCAAGAGATATAGGTCTGGCTTACCCGCTGCATTTGACTATAGATAACAGTGATTGTAAGTGTTTTCGTAATTATTGTTATTATTTTTGTTCAAATTTTTATTTTAGATCATCTTACATCATCGACATAAATTGTCGACATTAAATTAATTAAATAACATCAATATACGGATATATTTATGAAGTTTTTTCAACATTTACCAGATTTACACATTTTTTCCAATGTATTCTTATTTGTGAACATTTTCATTAATTTCGAGTTGTTAGGTTTGTCTTTCATTGACATTACTGATAAGTCTTTTGTAGACGAAACACGCGTCTAGCGTATGAAATTTGAAGACTGGTATCTATGACGAGTTTTGTTTAGCCCGATAAGTACAATTTCTTCGAAAATAAAATATTTGTATATTTTATAGATAAACAAAACCAAATCATTTAAAAATTGTTATCTAAAAATGCTGGTTTACCCCTATATTGACCTAAACTAACTTATTTTTTTCAAAGTTGTAAGTTATGCTAGATTAAAGTAATGTTCTTCGGATTTGCTTGCCCTAAAATATTTTTAATAAAAATTAAAATAAAATAAAATAAAGGCCCTCCGCCTCGCTGTTGAGCATTTTTTAGCCCAAGATTGTTTAATATTCTAAATATCGCTTGCTTCATAAACAAATTACACGAATTTCAACAAACAACAGTAAATAATAAGCATAATACAAATAAACATAAACAATTTTTATCAATATTTAGGCTTCGTTCATATACAGTTACAGTAAAATACGAGTAAACACAATCTAAAGTTTGCACCCCCCCCCCCCCCCCCCCAAATTCCAAGTATATAAGAAAAAAATCTTACCTTGTTCGTCGTAAGTGAAATCTTTCTCAATGACGAAGGAATATTTTCAATCCTTACCACGAACTATTATTTTGTACTTATCCGTAACAGTGACCGCCGCCATTTCATTTGTTGCTTCCGTCTTGTTTGATTAGTTTTGATATACTAGTACGCGAGATTTCTATTCAGTCGCTGCATTTTGTTATCTTTTCCTGTGATAAGATGTTTCATTTCATTGGTCTTAAAGATTTTAAAGCTTAGAAACTCTCTTCTGATTGGTGATGCTGGATATAGAATTCCGAATCTCGAATCTCGAAATAAAGATATTGAATCTCCAAACTCGAATTCCGAATTTCGAACTTCGGATATTGAATCTAGAATTTCGAATATCGAATCTCGAATGATACTTCTGGGCTTTGGTAGATATCTTCTTAATATATGCTTGACGAAATACTACATAGCAACTTTTATATCAATGTTACAGGCAAGCCGCTTGATCTAGTACAGAAATTTAACAGAAATTATTGAAATTATTGAATACTAGCTTCAATTAGAGAAACGGTTTTTTTTTCAATATGGAGGGATTTGTATAATATTATCTGCGTCACCAAAAGCGAAAGTAAATTAACGCTTGACTACGCCCATCCGTCTGTATGAAAGACCTTGGGTAGAAAACTATCGTCAAATGTTTCTTTGCTGCTATAGAGAATGATTTTATATTTTGTTTGCAGCCTCATAATGTTGAGCAGTAAGCAATTTAACATCTTATGTGCAGTCACTTTCTGTTTTGCCGAAATTTTGAAGTTCTACTCATTCACTCATTGTACAAGGAAAATTTTTTCAAAGTTGTTTTGGCTTCAATAAAAGGGAATGATCATTTACACTTCATTAACATATATACCAGCTTTGATTATTTGGTATTTAATTAGTACAATTTTTCACTTCTTCGTACTATGAACATCAAAATTATTTCATTTTTCCTTAGATGCTGTTCTTGGACCTGTACAGGAAGTTTTATCTAGCACTAATTGTATATTTTTATTGTTGATATTCACCCCATATGTACCAAGTGTTAGATAAGTTTTATTGATATTAAAGAAATTTCTTGGTATTCCTAAACGGAAGATTTTATACACACAGAAGAAGAAGTATACTTAACAACAAAATTATTTTCATTTACCTGTGTATAATATGTCGCAGGTTTATTTAAAAGTGATTATTTTCTATAAATTGTTTGAAATTTCACAGTGATATCATACTTTAACTTTTTTTACACCTGTTTATTTACTTTTGACTTTAATTACTTATCCCTTGTAATTTTTTATTAACTGTGTATATTTGCATTCAGGTGTCATTGTGTGTTAATTTACGTTTTTTGATTGAGTTAAGCCTTCCAATTGATATTTTATAGTGTGTTATTCTATGTTGTGATGTTATACTATTGTTTCAGAAAAGGGAGAAGGTTTGGTACCATTAAAACGTTTAATCCCGCTGCAAATGTTTGCACCTGTCCTAAGTCAGGAATCTGATTACAGTTATTGTCGTCTGTTTATGTAGTTCATACGTGTTTCTCGTTTCTCGTTTTTATATAGATTAGACCGTTGGTTTTTCCGTTTGAATGGTTTTACACTAGTAATTTTTGGGGCCCTTTATAGCTTGCTGTTCGGTGTGAGCCAATGCTCCGTGTTGAAGGCCGTACCTTGACCTATAATGGTTTACTTTTATAAATTGTAACTTGGATGGAGAGATGTCTCATTGGCACTCATACCACATCTTCCTATATCTATGTAACTTCTATCAATTGCCTGCAGCGACGCAGGTCCAGATCCGCCCTCTTTTTAACCTGTAGCACCGTGACAAGATAAGTTAATTGCAGTATAAAGGAATATGCAAATCATACTGTATATAAATAAAGGCAACATTAGTATACCGCTGTACGAAACTCATAAATCGATTGAGAAAAAAACAAATCCGGGTTTCAAACTAAAACTGAGTGAAACACATCAAATATAAGAGGAAAACTACGACACCACAGAAACACAACATTGAAATGTAACACACACAGAAACGAACTATAATATGACAATGGCCATTTTCCGGACTTGGTACAAGACATTTTAAGAAAAAAATGGTGGGTTGAACCTGGTTTTGTGGCTTGCCAAACCTCCCGCTTTAATGGCAATGTTAAATAAAACATTAAAATGACAACATTACATGACAGGACTACAACAAATCATCAGTTGAATTATATTGTTATTTTCTTTTAAGGAGAGCAAATGAAAAATGAATACCATCAAATCCATATTTAGAGCTGCCTTTGTGCTACCTTTTACGGCAGGAAACGTTGTAGCAGGGAGATCGAATGGAAAACTCATGCATGACGGCAGGATTTCCGGTTTAACCATTTTATCAAGTTCTGTTATAATTGTAGCGGAGATTATGCTAACAGCAATCGGTATTCAACAAAATAAAGAAAAGGCTTTAGATGTAGCACGCCCATGTCTTATCGTTTTGAATTCTTGTGGCATTGTTTCATGCATTGCAGTAGGATGTAGAGAGAAACAAAGAAGTCGACAAAATATCAACAGCAGTTTAGCAAATGCTACAAAATCACTTAGACTGAAGTTTTTATGTTTATTTTGCTTCGGATGTGCAATTTATCGAATCATAAAATTAGCAGTACATGTCAAATGTAAAGTATACTTACGTCCAAATGATAGTGTCGGACAGGCAGTTTTATTTGATATCGCATCAGTCATATTTTATATAGTACAATTATTTTTTATATATCTTTTTTCGAAGCAAGAATTCAGGCGTTCACTCTTCACATTTTATGGGCTTATCATGCTTGTAGTAGCTAACTTCTCTAATTGGATATATCATTCCGCGCATGGGTACGACTTTTTATCGAACAACTCTAGCTCTCATAACCATTCCAATAGTTCTCGGTGCCATCACAGCAAGACAGTGACATCACTTGAAGATTACCCAGATTTAGCAAATCCGTTTTTAGATCCAATGCGTTTAGAATACTCTCTTTTATCGTTAATTTTCATTTCGGAAATGTGGCCGCAAATGCGATCATATGTATGGAGAAATCATGACGATGATAATGATGAGCTTTATGTTAATACTGAGTTAACACCTATATTACAACGTGGAGAACAAGATCAAAAGGTAGCGGCATCCAGGAATATAGTTAATTCTCAGTGTCAAGACAAAGTACAGTACAATTGCTTTAGGAGCATTGTTTATATCTCCGCGAATGGTGTTAGAATTTCTGGAAACAATTGGTCTCGTTAAGTTAGATTTCGTGCTTTTATCAATTTGCGTGAACATTGCAGAACACGCTCTTTTATTCATTGTTGTAGTTAGATGCTTTCATGTCATGTCAAATCAGTGTCAGCCCAGAAGTTCGGATGATTCTTATTCTGTCGGAGATATTTTGTTGCTATTAAGTTTTCTCGCAACTCTTGGGTATTACGCGATGCATTTAATGGCTCATATTTTCGCAGTGGTTACGAGTTATCGAATTATTTTGACCATTAAAGGTTTAATACGCATAATTGCATACTATTTTCAAACTGTATACATTTTGCAAATGAAAAAATATAGAATTGTATCTGTCAATGGGAAAACATCTGTTCGTTTTATGTGTCTGTTTTTAAGCCTAGTTCATCTAGGTTTCTGGTTTTCAGATACATTTTTCGTTGCACAGTTCCTATACAAAAACAGTATTTACAATAACGTTTTGTATGCGAATATACAAAAAGTAAGGCAATTCTGGTTTCCTTTTGTAATATTTTTCAAATTTGAATGTTTTATTTCTTTGTATGGTCTCTATAAATCTCAATAAATATTAATATTGACGAAAGGAATTTCGTCACACGGAATGTATTATCTGTATTTATCAATAATTGTAATGATATATGAAAGCGCTTTTACAGACAGATCATTATCGTTAAAAAGACAAAAAGAATAACACATTATCCTTTAGTTGCGAAAAATATAAATTGATAACATGTGCGAAATACCTTGTTTTTATCAACTGATTTACTAAGAATTTAGTAGTTTCATTTTTAGATCAATTGTCACTGCTAAGTTCTTCCCGTCCAATTGCTATTTAAAGGTAAAAAAAAGTAAATATGATAATACAATTGAGAGATATACTGCAGTTATCTTTTGGCTCAGGTGTTGATAAAAAACGTGGCGGATCCAGGATAGGGCGAAAAAGGCGTACGCCGCCACTATGATCGACTTAAATTTAACAAAATATATCATGTTTCTCATGATAGTTTACCCTAAAATCGTCTAAAAAAAATTCTGGACTCTCTACGCTTGGTGGTATTTATTCCGTTCTTTTTGGGGGGGAATTATGCCCAACTTTTAAAAAATCCTGGATCACCCACTGCAAAAGGTAATAATGATTTAAAGTATATCATTATCTTATATATATATATATATAATAGTGATAATACTTGCCTGATATAATTATACACTATTAATAATAGTAATCAGTTAAATTGAAATAAAGTGCATGCACTTATGTCACTGTTTTTGGACTAAAAACTAAAATGAAGTCTTATTCGTCATACTTGATGTGGAATATTTTAGAAAAACTGAAATCTGTATGAAACGTTTACATTACAAAGTCGAATGAGAAGAAAATATGGTAATATTCGTATTCTAAAATAAAGTTTATTTATTAATTTGGAAACATTTCATTATGTTTCGGGTTTATAGCTTATGTATGCCTAATTTAATTTTATGCTTGCATATCTTGTATGATGTTGCGTCAAAAGCAAAGAATAGTCAATTCATGCATATTTCATCTATTTCAGTATATAGACCCACTAAATGAATATTGACTGTATCACTGTTAAGTTTCAATTGCATTTTACAATAAGCCTATCAAGGTGTAATACCACCATTGATTTTCCCCTATTAGTCTTTGTTAAATTTGCACTTTTCAAAAAATTGTGCAGGATTTATCTTTGTTTCAAATAAAGAAATACTTGGCATGAGTAAAGTTTGATCCTGTCCAGTACTATAGAAAAAATTTCACATAACATTTCATTGCATATAAGAAAATAACCATCACTGGAAGTTAACCAATCAAATTTTCCCCCTTTTTTAACCTGTGTACAAGCTTTAGTAACCATGTAACCTCAAGTTTCCAAAATATTCTATAGAAACCCCAAATAAAAAAATAATGGTGCTTTGAAATACCCAAGATATATGTTTATGACCCAGAAATGTTTTACTGCAATGAAATGTAGGATCAATTACCTACAACTGTCAAATTCAAGGGAATATTTTTTTTCGACCTATTTTCGTATGCAACCGGATGTGACGTACTATGATTTGGTGGTATTACACCTAAAGAAGACTTTTTTGTTAAATAAACTGAATGGGACTTTTTTCCTTTGTAATAATGGTTATTTCTAGCATTCCTGTCAAGTTTTGTCATAATCAGTTCAATAGTTTGAGAAAAATCTAGTATAATGTAAGACAACATCTACAGCGATTCGAGCTAAATTTCTTCGAAAAATCCAAACCAAGCCGCATCATGATAGAATATAGTGTGGACCAATAAATGATCAAATATTTATCTCATCTGCCTACAAACAGTTGAATATGATACAAAAGATGACTTTAGGATGATAAATACTACTAATGGACCTCTTTGTCTTCCTTATAAGGTCTCTTTTGGTCCATTTATACCTCTCATTTCCTCAGAATTTCTACTTTATAGGCCAATAAATAAAAATTTTGGGGTAACTTTCACTCATTTATGATAGAAATGTTATAATAAATGATTAAATGAAGTATTCGAGCTGAATGAACTATCCGTATAAAAGTTTACTGTCTCCAAGGAGGTTTCAATAAGTCCTTACGTAAAACTTAAATTTACGCCGCGTTCCAGAGAGGGACATAAAAAGCTTCTCTTTTGGTGAATAATTTGTTGTTACTGCTTTCAAAATAATTTCATTTACTTAAAACTATATATTTATTAAAGTATTTCTTAGGAAAAATTTTCTAGTATAGCAGAATATAAGAAAAAAGGAGAAAAAGCACCCCAAAACTCTAAGTATGGCTTATTCGGTCAACTAATATTCATGGTAAAGTCCTATTTCAAGGAAATTTTCTCATAAAATGTGTTTTGGAGACTCAATCTACTCAGAATATTTCATTATTAGTAATATTTCACTTAAATAGCAAGAAATTTTAACACATGAGAGTACTCACAAGGTCAAAGGTGCATGTACAGCTTCCCATATTAGGTGTAATACCACCATTGATTTTCCCCTATTAGTCTTTGTTAAATTTGCACTTTTCAAAAAATTGTGCAGGATTTATCTTTGTTTCAAATAAAGAAATACTTGGCATGAGTAAAGTTTGATCCTGTCCAGTACTATAGAAAAAATTTCACATAACATTTCATTGCATATAAGAAAATAACCATCACTGGAAGTTAACCAATCAAATTTTCCCCCTTTTTTAACCTGTGTACAAGCTTTAGTAACCATGTAACCTCAAGTTTCCAAAATATTCTATAGAAACCCCAAATAAAAAAATAATGGTGCTTTGAAATACCCAAGATATATGTTTATGACCCAGAAATGTTTTACTGCAATGAAATGTAGGATCAATTACCTACAACTGTCAAATTCAAGGGAATATTTTTTTTCGACCTATTTTCGTATGCAACCGGATGTGACGTACTATGATTTGGTGGTATTACACCTCAAGGCAGTTATTGATATGCTTGATGTTTTGACAAATAAATTGAAACCATAACGATTTTTGTTATTTCTATGTGAAAGGAAGTTTTCCGTTCACAAATATTTTTATGAGGAAACAGTTATCTGAAACTTTATTCTTTTATAAATCTATAAATATACGCTCTTCTTCCGTAATAAAGAGTTTCTAATCCATACATTTTTTTAATTTTGAAAAATAATCTAAGAAATGTATTAGTTTATTGAAACAACAGAGACGGTGTATATCGGGACCAAGAAGGCCCTACAATAATGTGTTTTAAAGATTTTCTCAAATTTGAAGAATTGAATATAAAATAAATATATGAATTCCGTCAATAAGATATTCAATTTTTATTTTTGTTTAAAATGATTCTTGTGTATCCTGTGTATAATGAGGCCTTCAAAAGACAATAATTCATTAAAAATATGAACTTTAATGACAACATTGAAAATTGGACGTACGAATGCTTAGAAATAATAAAATTCAAATAATAAAGATCAAAACCCTCGGCGAAAATAACATTTACACAGGAATTGAATTTAATCTGAAATGTTTCTTAAATTAATCCATTTTGAGATATCGGACGTTACCGCTGGGACGGTAGTCTGCCATAACCGGTGAACCAAATTGACCTTTATCTGACTATAGGACCATTAAACAATATATATTCATATACTTTTATTTAGTTATGGGCGTCATTCACTATGATTAAAAAACACAGGAGAGCTATGTCACACAAATTGTAAACATTTTAGTCGAATATTTTAGCAAATAATAATGTGCTATGTATACAATGTATTTTAATTTCATTTGAAAGAGTTTAAATTCCCAATGAAGGTGAATAAAAACGGACTACAGATGCACCAAATGTATCAAGCGTTGTTTTCGTTTTCAGCAAACATTCTATAGCAAAGTTAAAGAGTATGGGCTCTTTTTTAAATAGTTTGCTCCATTTGTATTTATACACTATATTCTATTATCTGTGTGTTCCTTATGAAAAAATGTGGATATTCGCATATCAAATTTCGAATTTAATAAATAAATTGATAAAAAGGTTAGTAATACGCCCCTTTCAAAGATAAAAAATAAACTTAAAGTAAGCACATGTCCTACCCCAATGACATATATGTTGTTGAGCCAGAGTCAAAGCTCTTAGCAACATCGTGTTTGTGTTGTTTTCACTTTGAACAAACACTCTCTAGCAAAGTAAAAGAGTATAGGCTCCTTTAAATTATTTTGCTCCATGTGTATTTATACATTATATTATAGTATGTGTGTTCCTTATGAATAATTTTGGATATTCACATATAACATTTCGAACAAAATCTTTATTTACATTTATATATTTTTTTTCTCAAAAGACTAGCTTACAAAGATACACATATATTTTTTAGGACGGGATAAACCATACCACAGGCACTAGACGGTCTATCACATTGCCCATATTTTATTATTATTGATAGAACTTATAGTGCCTGTGACCATATTTCAAAAATCCACTCTGATACAAACAAAATAATATATCAAATACACTCATCATAGATACATAGATTAAAATCACTGCATTTTTATGCACCTGTCCTAAGTCAGGAGCCTGTTGTGCAGTGGTTGTCGTTTGTTTGTTTGGTCCATAGGTGTTTCTCGTTTTTTTATATAAATTAGACCGTTGGTTTTCCTGTTTGAATTGTTTTACACTAGTTATTTTGGGGCCCTTTATCACGTTTATAGCTTACTGTTGGGTATGAGCCAAGGCTTCGTGTTGAAGGCCGTACTCTGACCTATAATTGTTATCTTTTTATACATTGTGACTTGGATAGAGAATTGTCTCATTGGCACTCATACCACATCTTCTTATTTATAGGCTTACAATTTTGTACATCAGATGCGCGTTTCGTACACAAAAGACACACCAGTGACGCTAAAATCAAATATATTTAAAAGGTCAAATAAATTACGAAGTTGAAGAGTATTGATCGAGGACTAGCAATTCCGAAAGGTTTTGCCAAATACAGTTAATTGATAATTATGACCATATCAATGGTAATTCATGTCAACACAGAAGTGCTGACTACTGGGTTTGTAATACCCTCGAAGAGAAAAAGTACACCAGCAGTGGTATCGAACCAGTGGTTGTAAATAAAATCATCATAAATACCAGGCTTAGAATTTTGTTCGCTAGACGCGCATTTTATCTACAAAAGAATCATCAGTAACGCTCGATTCGTAAATGTTAAAAAGGCATTTTCATGGGAACCAGCTGTTCTCCTCGACTTGTTTCTCTATTCATAGTAAGCAGAATTTATAAAGGACCTTCACAGGAAGATTGATATAATATACATATTATATTTTAAATTCACGTTCCTCTTTTTGGATGATGTCCTTCAATAAATAAATCGAAGTTTGGTGACTATGTTAAATGCAACTATTCAATCGAACTTGAAAGGATACACCAGATACAGTTAAATCTATCTTACATCTATGACTGACGATGCAAGTTGGTTAAGAAAACGTTTATAACAAAAGGATTGATGACGGCTTTTCAATTTAAATAAACTGAAAAAAGTACATTTTATGGGTCCAAGCGCTTTTCTGGATTTATCTTCCATGTAATTTTCCATTTCTATAAAAACAAAATTTCAAGGTTTGCATTTTGAGTAAGCACCATAACGACTTGGTCAAACGTTTTGAAATATCTGTGTCACTGATGATCACGGATATGTCTCAAGTGTCATTGCCACATTATCGTCTTCTTTTTATCAATTTTTGACGTCACCAAATTAGACTTTTGAAGCGGAGGATATTGTTATGGTCTCCGTTATGTTTGACATCAAGCTTTCATACTTGGTAAAGTTATTTTTGCCATACTATAGTAACTTCTGGACCTGCTATATCGTCAGTTATATTTGTCAATGTTTTCATGAGTTACATGTATGAAACTGTAACAACAATTTTACTATTGTAACATTGACACATTATGAATGCAACTTCTCTGAAAACATTTTACAGAAATCTCTGATATTTGGCCGGATTGTTTGCCATCATATCTATATATAGTACACAATATTATACCGTCATTTTGATGTGACCATTTTAACCGGAGTTATGGGACTTTTACCATATTTCGACTATATGTGGCTAATTGTGGCACACGATTCAATTCCTCATTTAGACAGCACGGGGAACATTTCACTACGGCATTGAAGCTGAAAGTTTCTCCTGCATTTCTGACCTTGAATAATTTTAAGTTGAAAGTCTTAAAGATGAAGGTTTTACTACACATAAACCTAACATTATCATTGATTCATGACAATGAAGTCAAGGTCAATTAACCCTGCCAGACGGACAATAATTCTTTATACCACATATTGTTGACCTTTTGATTATAGTAGCCAAAAAAAGACCAATCCATGAAAACATAACCAATGAACGATGAACAGGAAGCCAAGGTCAGATGATACATCCCAGACAAACATGTAAGTCTTACAATCAAATTCATTATCTGAAAAGAGGATCAAACTATGAATCTTAACATTGACCAATGAACCATAAAATAATGTAAAGGAAAGATGATACCCGCCAGACAAACATGTACACCTATAATCATACCATACACCACAAATAGTTGACCTAAAATTGACCTAAACATATAATAACTGCGAAACAGAGCTTGCTAATACAAACTGTTTAACAGGCTATGTAAAACCGCTGACTATGCGGTATGGACTTTGCTCATTGTTGAAGGCCGTACGGTGACCTAAAGTTGTTAATTTCTGTGTCATTTGGTCTCGTGTGAAGATTTGTCTCATTGGCAATCATACCACATCTTCTGTTTTATATGAACCCCGCCACATTAGTATTTGCTCCTCTCCCAAGTCAGGAGCCTATTTTTCAGTGATTATCATTGGTTCATGTCTGTCATATTTGCTTTTCATTTATGGTTTCATAACTTTAGTTTTCCTGTTTGAACTATGTAAAACCGCTGACTATGCGGTATGGGCTTTGCTCGTTGTTGAAGGCCGTACGGTGACCTATAGTTGTTAATTTCTGTGTCATTTGGTCTCGTGTGAAGATTTGTCTCATTGGCAATCATACCACATCTTCTGTTTTATATGAACCCCGCCACATTAGTATTTGCTCCTCTCCCAAGTCAGGAGCCTGTTTTTCAGTGATTGTCATTGGTTCATGTCTGTCATATTTGCGTTTCATTTATGGTTTCATTAACTTTAGTTTTCCTGTTTGAACTATGTAAAACCGCTGACTATGCGGTATGGGCTTTGCTCGTTGTTGAAGGCCGTACGGTGACCTATAGTTGTTAATTTCTGTGTCATTTGGTCTCTTGTGAAGATTTGTCTCATTGGCATTCATACCACATCTTCTGTTTTATATGAACTCCACCACATTAGTATTTGTTCCTCTCCCAAGTCAAGAGCCTATTTTTCACTTCATTTGAAATCTAGTGGATAACTGTCCCATTGACAATAATACCACTTCTCCATATGTTCATACTTATACTTTAAGACTTGATCGCTGATCAATGAAAGGAGGTCTAGGTCGGCTAAACCCTGTCTGATGGACATGTAATTATCCTATTAAAGAGGGGCAAAAGATATCAGAGGACATTCAAACTCATAAGTCGAATATAAACTGTCAACGCCATGGCTAAAAAAGAAAAAGACAAACAATAGTACACAAAACACAAAACATAACATAGAAAACTAAAGACTAAGCAACATGAACCCCACCAAAAACTGGGGGTGATCTTAGGTGCTCCGGAAGGGTAATGTGATCCTGCTCCACATGTGGCATCCGTCGTGTTGCTCATGTTAGTACAAACCCGGTAATAAATCTAATTCGGTAGGTCACATTCGTGAAAAGGGGACGGGATTGTAGTTACGACATTGGGAACACTCTCCTCACTTTGACTTATCTTTCTTTGAAATGATAGGAGCAGGGGCATGGGACATATGCCTAACTATATTCCTGAAATTGCATTTAGAAGGTTAGATTTTAAGGCTATATGACTAAATATTCTGATT